GTATTAAAATTTCACATTTAAAATATTGTAAAACAATGAATTCAACATTTTCATTTAAATATCTTGAAAATAGACTGATGTGTAAGTTTTTGATCCATCATTATCTATGTTAATTGGTAAATTATTAAAAAATAAACAATAATATGATCGATTCAAAATGATGTTAATGGTGAATAAAGAGCAGAGCTGGAAATTTGGTACAATTTTTATTAAGGACGATTTTAAAAAATGTGAAAACATCCTGTTGGTTTCATATAAGCTTGCACGATGTATTAAAATGAAAAGCATTGAATTTGATATATTTTCGTAGCAGAATGTGCCTAAATATTCACTCCTACTAAAAAGTAGACCTGAAATTTAAATTTTCAGTAAGTAACCTTGTAGACTATAACGTTTCAGCTGCCACTTTTTCCTTAAACCTTATGACCGATATCAATAGGCTCAAAAAGTTGCCATTTAAGACATTTAAAAGCCATATTTTGCTAACTTCTTTTTACATTAATTAAATTATATTTTTTAAAGCAATTCCTATTAGAAATAGTCTAAGGCTGCAAAAATTTATATGATTTTTATTTATTTAATGTATTGAATTGTTAAAGCATTCTCCGTCTACGTGACTTTTTTCAACCACGAATTGATGGATTCTGAATTCCCAGATTATCGTTAACTTTGTACAAAGTTAAGACAACATCAGAATTGAACACAGCTTCGATGGGCTAATGTTCTCTTCACCGATGAGTCCAGATTCAATCTACAACCTGATTCTGGACGGTTATTGATATGCAGGGTGCCTGGAACCCGATACCATCCCAGCAACATTATCGAAAGGGACCATTATGCTGGTGGAGTACTCATGGTTTGGGCAGGAATCATGCCAGATACTAGCACACCGCTCCATGTGTTTGACAATGGTTCCGTGAATGCTCAGAGGTACGGGCAGGAGATCCTAGAGCCCTATGTGCGTCTTTTCAGGGGCGCTGTTGGCCCTGAGTTCATTTTTATGGACGACAATGCGCGACCACATAGGGCTCTCATGGTTGATGAGTATCTGGAAAGCGAGGATATTCAACGAATGAATTAGCCAGCCAAAACCCCTGACCTGAATCCTATTGAACATGCTTGGGATGCTCTTGGGAGAGCTATTGCGATGGGCCAACCTCCCCCCAGAACCATTCTGGACTTAAAAATTGCTCTGGTGGAAGAATGGGAGGGTCTTCCACAAGTCCTCCTTAAATCCCTTATTAACAGCATGCATACTCGTTGTGCATGCTGTCTGTCCGTCGAGGGTGACCATACACCATACTAGAGGCAACACGCACTGTACAAGCTTCACTTTTATTGTCATCTTTTATCCTTAAGTTCAGACTACATTGGATTTATTGGTAATAGGTCTTGCCAGCGAATGGCACTTTCATTTTTGTTTTGCATACTTTATTATCATGAAATAAACTATATCCATACCAAATTTCATTTATTTATATTCAGTATTTTTTGAGATATTTGGGCAAATGTCTTCCATCTCTTAATTTTGTCCACTAGTGTACTTTTACATTAAACGATTTTTAAAATGAGTAATGAAAGAAAATAAGCAGTTCCTTATTTAACACTTTTCGTAACTTTTTTTGTTGAATTGCCACATAGCGAATAGTTATTTTCAGCTCTAATAAAACGGGTTAAAGGGTTTCGCAGTTTGAAATTTTTCTTTAAAAAATATGTGATAGTTTTTCTTGGATGTGTTTATGAGATAAACTCTTTTAGTTAATCTCCTTCTTGTTTTTTGCTTTTTGTGTTGTGCTTACGAGATTTTTTGATGCAGGAATCGATAGCGGAATTTACCAATTAAATTTTATTGTAAAGAATATTACAATTTTATGAAAACATTTTCAAATTAAATGATTTAAGTTTAAAATAAATATTCAATGTTCAATAGTTTTAAATTTGGTTTTTTCATTGTAAAGTTTAATTTATTTTCTTTCATAATTTCATTAGCAGCAGCATTTATGACTTTTTTAAAGCATGTTTTGCAAACTAGCAAATTCAATTGAGATTTTGATAAAATAGGCTCATTTCTAAAAGAAAATTAAAAACAGATTTTAAAATTAGACTTGAAAATTATTAATGATATATAATTCGTCAGAAAATGCGTCGTATGAAGAAAATAAAAAAATATCAATAAAAGTTGTGATATAGTATTATTTCATAAATTTGAAATATTCAAAAAAATCATCAGAGCATAAGGTATACTTTTTAGTAACAGGGAAGAAAATGGATGGCAACAGAACTCGCTAATATAATTTAATTTAGTATTTTCTGTATTACTAAATAAGCAATTAATGCATGAAATGATATTATAAAACTGCTCTAAGTTTTACTGCTTCACAGCAATACGGAAAATTAAGTAAAATTATATCACCGAATTATTCTGCTATCATCCATATCTTCCTCCTGCTTACTCCAAAAATAAAAAGCAACGTAAGGTAATATCAGAAAATACAAAATCTAGAATTATATAGCAACAAAACCAATGCAAAATAATATTACCGCGAACGCTAGTTAATATTAGTTTGCATAGAATCTAATATTGTATAATGCAGAGCAAACAGCGACCTTTAGTATTTTCCTAATATTAGAAGTTGTGCAAGATAACGTCAGATTTTACTGATTTTCTGATGTTATCTAATACTAGGTGCTACGTGGGTAGCGTCAAATAAAAGCATAACGATATTTAATGTTTTTCTTAAAAGAATTTGCAAAATTTTTTCATTAATTTTAATTTATAGAACACATAGCTTATTTTTTATTTCAATAATTGACTATTTTGTTGATTATTTACTAATTTTCAATTATGGATGAATTACATTATTCTATGGTACAAATTAACTAATATAGTACATTGTACCATATTTATTCATTTTGCACCCATTAAAAGAGCACCAATTATCTTAAAACCAGTCGTGTCACTTACCAAAATTAATTGAATATCACTAGCTTCAATAATTCAATATGGTGATTTTTTACATTTCTCCTAAAGGAAAATAATAATTTCTCTCTTAGTTTTGCTTTATTGCACTTAGACAATATAATTTTTTTTCTAGTTAGTACTTAGTACCAAAATGAGTTAAGCATCATAGGTGTTTATAATAGTTTGATTTTTCACGTTTATCTTAAACTAATTAGTACCTTTTCTCCAATACTTTTGCTTTCTAGAACAAAGGTATTTTTTAATTAAATTATTATCTAATGACAAATTTAATCCAGCATCATTGGCGTCAATAAGAGTATGGCGATTTTTTACTTTTTTCTTATACGAATCAGTACTATTTCTCCATTAATTTTGCTTTTCACTACATTAACTTATTAGTTTTTCTTTTTAATTTCAATTATTATTAATTTTAAATTATGCAGTTTAATAGATATTGTTAAAAAAAACATCTAATCAAAATAAATATTTTTAGAAATACTAATTTGGGTGACGTACTAATGAACGTGAAGGTGAAGCCACTGTTATCATGTTCATGTAGATCAATGAGTTTAACTGGCATAAAAAAAATTAAAAAAAAAGAAAAGAGAAAATATTATGGAACTAGCAAAAAACTCCTTTCTCTTTTAATAAGAACTAAAAGCTAACAAATGTTGCTGTTGTAATCTTTAAAATATTTCAAAAGAAAAAAATTTTTGCAGTCTTATTTTTATTGAAGCCGTACCCAATTAAAAACTTTCCAATTTACACACGTCTCCACTGAACCAACTAATTGAAAATTTCAAACTGATTTTAGGGATCGGGGGGGCTGAATTTGTCCCTTGCAGGCGCTGCGTGAATATCAGGATGATGAAACAAATGTTCCTGAAGTTAAGAGACAGACGAACTCTTAATTTTATTATTAAAGAAATTTGAGGTGCAGACATTGATTAAATAGATAATTGTAATATCGATTCATAATTTATTTTATCGTGAATTATAGCTGTAAATTATAAAAAAAAAATTTTAAAAATTCAAATAAGAATGATTTTTTTAAAAAATTTATTGTTAATGAAAGAAAAAATTTTTAGCTACAGTTTCGAGTATTTCAAAGCACTATTTAACAGAAAATTTGAGCTTTATTTTTTATATTTTTTTAAGATTTATCTGCTCTACCGTGATTTTGAAAATTTAGATATTTTAAAGTAAATTTATTTAAAAAAAGAAAATCACATTGCTGCAAAATATTTATTTTTGTTTTCGAATAAAACTTCTATTTATTTTGTGTCTGTTCTATTTTATTCCACATAAACACATGAAAAACAAACGCTTATCATTATCTAATATAAATATAATTTTTAGAACGGAAACTACAAAAGGAACTTGGGGTGCGCATACCACCTCCAAAAAGATCTTATTTTTTGCAAAAAATTCCCGTCATGCCGACAAACAATTCCTATAGATAAAAACAACTTTTAAAGATAATTAAAACTTGCTGGCTACATAAAAGATTTGATTGCTTGGTACACGATCTGTTAGAAGTTGAACTCCCTGACATCTTCGCACAGTGCACAACGCATACAAAATTTTTTAAAAGCTAAAAATTTTTAAAATTTGTAAAAATTGAAATAATTACTTTTAAATCTAACATTTTGAACACTCAGCTTTAGAAAAATAAACAATTAATGAATATTTAATTAAAAGTGATAATTTACTTTTTAAAAACGTTTCGCAATGATTATTTGCTTTATATTTAGTGAAGCTTGCTAACTTTCAATTTTTTTGTATATTATTTTTCTCTTTGAGGATAGATGTCAGCACTAGACATAGGCCATTAATCTTAAGTTTTTTTTTTAGTTTTTTTTATGAAAGTTTATTAATTTTTTAAACCATTTCGTGAGTTCCAACTTTAAGTATGTAAATTATTATTTTATTGTAAAAGCTCTGTTTATTTTAATTCAAGAGAAAAGACAAAGAACAGTTTCATGTAATTACTAATCATATAAACTCTCTATGCAAGTCACAAGCAAACTGTTCAAACTAGCATAAAATTTCGAAATTAGTCTCCGTATTCAACATTTTTTTACCGCAAACTTTTGAAGTGAAAGTATTCAAAATCTTATCATATATATATATCAGTGAAATTTTTCGAAGATATTTCATCTAACTGATAATAACTTCTAGGAAAAGGAATCTTTTAAGCGTATTACTCACTTGAAAATGGAAGTAATACAAAATAATTCTGTTGAGGCAGAATCATGTTCAGACAAGAAATCGAAATCTGAAATGGATACTGATAGTGGATCTCATAAATTTTCTAATCATCCTGATCTTGAAGAATTGTAAATTTGTTTTCATGTTTCTTCAGTTTAAATATCTATTTCTGTTCTGAATTTACATATTGGATGAAAAATACCGCATTCAAACATAAACTTACTTTCCCATAAACAATTTAAAAAATGCACGTGTATTGATTTCTGACATTTGTTTTATTTCAATTTCCTTTCTATCAGTGTTTGATTCTAATTTCTGGAATTATGGTGTACTGATTTCTAATGAATATACTCTCAATCTGAAATTATATCAATCTTTCTTGAAATTTTCCGATTGTGATGCATTTATAATTTGATTTCTAGTGATATCTTTTACTTTGATTGCTTTTATGATAAAAATATTTTAGTTAGGTTTGATTTCTCATAATATAATAATCTAAATTTATAATAATACTTAAAAACAATATTTTAGCTATTATTCATATACTTTGTATTTATCAATAATTGAAACAACGTGTAATTAGAAAATAATGTATAATTATGTACATCACTATTTAATAATGCAATCATTCATAACTTATATAACAGAAAGCTTAGCTTCTGATGCATTGATAATCATTGAAATTATATCCTCTAATTGTGTTTTTATTAAAAGTATATCTCTACATATGTTTTAGCGTGATTCCAAAATTTTATTTTGTTGTTAAGGTTAATAATATAATTTGTGTAATCTTATTAATTGTGTAATTTAACAAAACATATTTTTATATGGTGTATTCTTATAAGATAAAGTACAATACTCTGCTATAAAAAAATTAGTCTTTTAATATAAATGTTTTCTCTGAACTGGAAGATGATATGCTTACTTCTATTTAGAAAGTCTTTGCTGGCTTATTATTTCTAATCGTACAGTGCAGTCATCATTATCAGGCTCTTAGAGTGTGTTGCCTATGGGAATTAACGTCATCAGTTCCTGTTTGTCCTACAATTGTCAAGATACCAAAAGAGTTTTGAAACTGAAAATTTAAAACGAAATATGCAGAGAGGTTATAGCCTGGGAGTGGCTACAAATTATATCCATAAAGATCTTACCGTCTGTGATGCCTTTTATTTATTTTCGCACAGGCTGCTGACCTGAAGTCATTAAAACTTGGTGATTATTTTGGTAAAAATACTTTTCTTGCACAGAAATCTTTCTCTTGTCAGGTATCTCAGTTTTTTTTAATGTCTTAGTGATGAAGTAAAAAAATTGTGCCTTTTAAATGGGGTTGTGAGGAAGATGGTTGATGTATAGAGATAATCACTCATAGAAGTTTCAGTTTATCTTAATTTTTGTTTACTTTTTGAGTCTTTAATTGTCAGCACCAAACTTCAATTATCAAAATTTATTTGTTCACATTGCAACTTTATTTTCCCACACATAAAATCAATATTCCCCCATGTTATTCAATAGGGAATTAAAAAAAAAAAACATTTTTGGCTAAATAGCATGTACTATACTCTGTCACAAACTCTGTTTAAAATTTTAAGAGGACACTTTACTACTGAAAAAAACCCTTCGTAGGAAATTTTCTTTCAATTACCTCAGTAATTTAAAATATAGAAAAACTGAGTTCTGGTAAACCTCAAAGAAGTAATCCTGCAATAGTTTGTTTGCAATTTGATGTTTTGAAAATATTTTTATTATCAGCATTTCAAACTTCATGGTTTTTTCTAGGTTTATGTGAGAAAAAAAAATTTCTAAATTTTAAAATATTAGAAGTGAAACAGCACTTGCTATGAACAATTTTTCCTGCAGTCGTGCATCTCATAAACCTGCACAACATTTTTATTCATCATTATAATGTGTATCAAATAATATTTAGTTTGATTAAAATTTACTCATTTTGAGCCAAGAATTTCAATAATTTTATATAAGAGAAACTTGGTGACCTATGTTTTAAATCAACTATTTTTATTGGTTACTAATTAATTGTTGCGTTTGTTTATAAATTCAGAAATAAAGTTTACTTTTTATGCTTTATTTTTATTAGCCGGATACTTCAAGCCCAATTTGCTGAAGATAGAAACTGGAATCAGTATCATACACCTAGAAATTTGCTACTCGCTTTGGTTGGTGAAGTTGGAGAACTTTCAGAACTTTTGTAATATTTGACTTTCCTTTTACTAATGCTTGAGTGTTATATCTTGTATGCAATTATGCATGCATTATTTGAAATTTTTTAAATAACCCATTTTTTCATTGTGTTTTTTTTCTCCTTTATTTCAATTTCTGTTTATATAATTACAAGTTTTTAAGATTAAGATTGCTTTGAGAAAATCTGTAACCTTTTTTTTTTTAATTAAAAAAAAAAGAAAAATATTTATCAAATATTTTATTTTATATCATGAATTTTTTTTAATTGAAAAAAGACACGGAAAACAGTCGGATTGTTAACCAGATTTTTTTTTATAAATCGTCTGTGTGTTACATACTGTTTAACAATAACATACTGTTTTGACATGGATAATGCCTACAATAATAAAAAATTTTAAATGAAATTTAAATGATAGCAATTTACAACTTAAGCTATAACTTATTATTTCATTCTGTTTCCTTATAGCCTCTAATGAAAAAAAGCACTGAAAATTTTTGTACCTACCTAAAATTTTACTATTACTTTTTTTTACACTGAAAGCAAATACATTTTTTATTTTGAAACTGCTTCAACGTACTGCTTCCTAGTAAAATCCCCATTCTCTACTTTATGAATTTTTAGGAAAAATCGCATGTTAGTCTCAATTCTTTTTAGAGAAAATTCTTGTTCTATTAGTTCATATAATTTTTGAAATGTTATTTAAGCTGTATTTTTGCTCAAAAAAGATAATTGTCATAAATGCTTTAGTGCAAAGATTTCTCAAATTCATTATCCATTGAAAATCACATAACGTAGATCTTACGTTAAATTTTTTTTTTATTCACCTTTTTTTATATACCTTGAGAATCCATTGTATTCAAAGCGTTTCGTGTTGCCAACTCAGTTTTTTTCCCTTCTGTTAAGAAATAATTATACAGTGCATATATATTTGTATTATAACATACATTTCCTATACTCAAATTTCTTTTTTAAATATGTTGAACAAAATATTTTTTTCTTATATTTCTCAAGTATTTATATTTTTCTTGTAATATTAAATTATTAATAATTTTTAAGCTTTTAAATGATTAAAGTGATCATTTTTGATTTTATAAGGATTATTAACTTTTAATTAAAAAAAGAATTAAAAAAATATAGAAATTTGATTTGTTTATTTATTTATTTTTTAAAGTTTTGTAGGAATACTTCTATTTTGTTATTTCAGAAAGTTGAGTTTAGATTTTTATTTTCTAAATTTTTTGTACTTTTTATGTAGCCAGTGGAAAGGTGAAGTTAAAGATGGCCTACCTGGTAAGTTGATAAACACACTTATATTAATATTGTTTCTAATTTTTTTCTTTCTTTCTAGTATTTCTCTATTATAGCCAGAGTTAGGTTAAATTAAAAACTTTTTTCGAACTCTCAATTCAATTCATCTCCGTTAAAAAACTTTCAACTCAATTTAAAAACTTTCTGCACACATTGATTAACTCATGTAACTAGCTATAACAACTAAAGTAAAATATACAAGCTTAACTCACATGATCCACAGTTAGAGAATGCCATTATTGTAAAGATTAGCCCTATACACATATGGTCATTATTATAAAAATAAGTCAATTATTCACAAAATATGTTAACATTTAAATTTATTTGATTACAGTTTATACTTCATACAATAATGCTTCATAATCTTTCCAAATCCCTTTACAGCCTACAACTATGTTGCCAAAGTTTTAGAAAATTAATATTTTTTATTTTCTGAAAATCCCAGTTAATTTAAAAAAAGTTACTCAAATTTTGAAAATCATCAATTTTCTTGAGTTATATATCTGTAGATTAAGAAACAAACTTTATTAAAGCACTGTAACAGTTAGTTATTAATCCCTAGCCTACGGCTGGAACAGCATATGATCCGATCAATAAACTTTCTCTCACAACAGCGCCGTATCAGCAGTTGTGCCAACAGTTTTCTTCCCCTGAATTTGCTTTACCAACCATTAACGTGTCATTTCTTCAAACTCCTCTTTCATAAGACCCTTTTGTTGGAATAGAAGTGTGAATTTGAGCTATGAGTTTGTTAGTGTCTGCTTTGACTTGCACTTGGCTGAAAGATATTTGTTATTTTTATTATTTTGCAAATTTTGAGTGCTCATGAACTTTTTGTTGTCTTTGTGGTAGCTGTGTTTCATTACCTTTTTTTGATTTGAGATCTATTTCATAAAATTATTTTATATGCAAGTTCTTTATTTTCATTTTCTTTTGACATTTGTTTAATTTCAGATCTGGTATCTTTTTCTTTCATATTATCCCACGCCTTTGTTAGGAATTTTATGAAAATTTTTATTATTTTTTCGGAATTTTTTTTTATTATTCTTACTAATATTTTTTTTATAAAGTATTATATAAAAATATTTTTATTTATCTGAGAGTTTATGAGTTAAAAATACATTAAACTTTTTGTAGTTAAAATAAGCCATTTTTAAGATCAAAGAAATTAAAAGAAAATCATACTGAGTTTCTTGTGGTTAAAAAAAACTAATTTCAAAGACAAAAAATAAATCAAACTCACACAAATCTCTTCTAAACTAAATATTGCTTTTTCCTTAAAATTAAAAACAGAAACTATTTTTGAGGGCGAAAATTTGTTAGAGATCATGCATACAAATAGCTAATTCTGAAAATAACAGGTTAAACAATTATGACTCCAACCCATCTGTGTTTTAAAATGCACTAAAATAGAAAAATACTCTAATGTATCATTTAAATTATATTATAAAGTCATTATGATTTAATGGTTTTGTGTTTTTAAATCAGCATTATAACTTAATTTGTGAATCTAGGGAGAGCTGTGAATTCACTAAAGGGAAAAAAATGTTTCATTTATTTAACTGCCACTTTTTATGATTTTTAATATTAATTTTCTAGACAATAAATTATGCTTGATTCTTTCGTTATAAATTAAATTTCAAAAAAGTGTTGACAACCAAGGCAAATTAAATTTTTACCGGATAAAGTTATTTTACTTATCAGAAGTGAGCAATGACTCCATTTAAAATAACCGTGTTAAAAATTTGAATTTTTTCTAGAAATGTATGTATAAAAAATTGTTGAAATTAAGTTATAAAGATGAGGCTTCAAAAAATTTTAACAAATCTATTATTGAATATTGTTTAATTGAAAGTATTATTCATTAGTATTGTTTCTTTTCAAACTGTTGTAGATTATAAACACTTTTGTGTGTGGCATTTCCTCACTTTTTGTTGTGTTATCTTCAGAATGTCTGCTTTTATTAATAATATATTTTGAGGTCTATCAGTCCTAAAATTTTTAACAATAGCTAATTCACTACACCCCAGGAAAGGACTGCACCATGACCAAAGCAAATGCATGTTTTGCATTTATAATGTCAATAGAGCTTGCATGAATGTGTCTGATAACAATCCATGACTTTTATGTTTACAAACATGTATTAGTTGTGAAGGACATCAGCTCAACAGATACTTTCTTTTGTACTAAACTTTGCAGCTTCTTACAAAAATAAAAATAAGCAAAACTTCTCAATTATATTAAAAATAAATTTAAAGAAAATATTAAGAAAAAATTCGGTTAAAAATTTTAAAGTTTTGAATATAAGATGAGATTTTTATTCTATCAATATAGAATTCAAATATAAACTTAATAGAAATGTGGCTCAGTTTTTATCATTTAATATATTTGTTGTAGAAAATATAAAAATCTCTGGTTTTCTTGTTTGAATTTACTAAACATATATTTTCCAGTGTCTTTATGTGTATTATTTTTTATAATTTTATTAATATTCTGATAGAATTTTTTTGTAAAATATTTATAAGTTTCTACAAAACACACATATGCAATATTTTGTGTACTTCTATAAGAAGCAAAGGTAAAAGGTTCTCGTAAGAACTAAATAAAAAAAACTAATGCTTAAAGACTAAGAATTATATAAAGAATAAATAAAAGGAGTATTTCGGTTGAAAAAATTGTTTTTAGAATCAAAGACAATATATTGTCTTTTATGTGTCTTATAATTAAACAGAGAAAAAATTTAGCAGATATTAAATTAAAAAACTAAAATTCAACAACCATAATATATTTAAATGGTGATGGACTAATTGTTTCAACTATTATTTTTTAATTTCAAATAAAGCAAAAATATATTCTTTGTACCATTTAATAATAATTTGTAGCTACAAAACGCTGCTAATTTTGAAAACATTAATTGTAAAAACTTTACAATATCTCATCAGGAGGCTAATAATATCCCATTAAGCTTGGTGTTGCCATCTAGTGACACTTTTAATAAAGTATAAGTCATTCATTCTCATTTTTAAAATAAAAATATAATGAAATATTTATAATATATTTCAAATGAATGAAGTCAATTTATATTAAGTTACTGCAGTGATAATATTATTATCATTAACTTCAGTATAATATTTTATACCCCCCACATAACCATAGTAAATATAATTTTTTTATCAAAATTTGAAAAGATATTGAAATCTGTTTTGTTATTAAATACTCATTAAAATTAAACTAAAAGAGTATTATTTTGTAATATGAATCAGATTTTCATATAAGTTTAAAATGATATTTTTATGATTTAAGAATATTAAATTATTTTTAATTATAAAGGATAGATTTAATGATAATTAAACATTTTTTAGTTTACTGTTTTAAATTTAAAATATTCTTCAAATAATGTTAATAATATAAATCTAGTAAGAATTCTTTTTCTTTGTCTTAATCCTGTGAAACCTCATAAATTTATATATGAATGGTTTCTTGTTAATGTCTAATAATTTTTATATGAATCTGCAGTAATGATTAAAAATAAAAGTGCATGAATATGCATGCATGCCATTGGACACTTTTTATGAAAAGTTTTTATCATTTACATTTGCAATGAGAAGCAAGAATGGAAGCGATTGTTAGTAGGAGAAGGAAAAAGAGCCAGATACTTATAAAGATTTAAGAAAATTATTTTTTTAACACTCTAATTTGTTTCAATTTTAAGAGACATTTCATCTTTGACATGACTATTGTATACAGAAGAAGAAATATTTTCATTTCTTTTATTATTTAAACTTAACTTACACTTTTGCCTGAAATTTATATGAGAATAACAATGTTTTATTTCTTATTAGTTATTAGAAATTTTTATTATTATTAATTAATTGGATTTGGTTTATTTTAGAACTTAGAACAACTTTTAAAATAAATAGAGATTGTAATGTTGTAATGCAGCATTGGGATAAAATTGTAAAAATTAAAAAAATTAGACCCCAAACGCTTTTTATTTTCACAAAACTGTTGCTTTTCTTTGCACCATTTTCAATGTAAGCATAGACAGTGCTGGCTATAGATAAGCTAAACTTGACCTAACAGTCATCATGAGTAACAGTTGCAAACTCACAGCAGCTATGACGAAGCCTTCGAAAAATAGCCTTAAATGTACCATTTAGAAAGGTCAAACATCATAATTCAAAAATGAGTTTCAAACTTTGATTTATTTTTTTTAATAAACAAATCTCCTTTTGTGTCTACAACAGTCTCATTACCATGTCGGATTGTTGTGTTCTTTTCCTTTATTTATTTATTTTTCATTAGACTTAATTTATCATGCACTTACTAATTAGCTTATCTAGAATAATGCCACTTACTTTGGAATTAGCATAGCTGATTCGTGATTTTGTGCTTTTTGTCTCTATGATCAACTTTGATGTATTATTCAAATTGTATTCTTATAGATTGGACTGAAAGTGAAAAAGAACATTTAGGTCAAGAACTAAGTGATGTTTTACTGTATCTGATACGATTGAGTGATAAATGTCGCATCGATCTTCCATCTGCTGCTTTAAAAAAAATCTCCATGAATGCTATAAAGTATCCTGCGTCTAAAGTGTATGGTTGCAATAAAAAATACAACGAATATGAAAAGGAAAAAGAAAATCATTAATCATCTTGGTATAATTAGACATTAATTCTTGTGTGTATTAAAATTATGTAAATAATTAACTCTGATTTCTATTTTTCAGAAACTCTGATTTCTATTTTTGTGGCATTAATAAATGATTTATATTGTCTTTTCTTGGTATCTATGCTTTAAATGCTGTTAAGCTATTTTAAAAATATTTATAACTTTTCAACTTTAAAATTTTAAATTATTCCTTAATGTATTAAAAAAGTTCTGCAATGTACAGTGCACATAATTAAAAGGATATCACCCTGAATAACTTTCCTTCTAATGATCGGATTTTAACGAATTAAATCCGAATTTTAATGGTTCTAGGAGATGACTTCATCAAGTATGCTAATAAATTATTTCTAACTATTAATAAAGTTACAAAATCGGACACAAAAACGTAATTTCTTTTTTTATTACATATTTTGATTTTTGAGCTTGAAGTAGAAGGGGGATGGGATAGTCTCAATCTAGAAATTATAGCGGATGAAATTTTGGTCCTGTTAATGTTATTTCTAAGTTGATGTTGCACGAGTTTCATTCAAGAAGCTACTTGCTCTTACACATTTCTCCTGAAATGCAGCTTAAATATTGTAATAGTAGTACTGTAATAGTAATAGTAGTAAAAATTAAATAACAATAAACAAAATAATGAAAATATTAAAGGAAATAAAAAATTTTAAATAAAAATCGACAAAAATTAGAATGTCAAAAATGTAAACAAAGTAAATTTAAAGAAAAATAAAATAAAAAATAGACTTGAAAATTTAAATATCATCGTTAAATTGAAAATAATTTTGAATTTTCAAATATTCTTGAGACTGATTGTGATAATGGGGTGCTGCATTGTCAGTAATGTTCATAGAATTATGCAAATTTAAGATTGAAATTAAAAAAAATGGTCCTAAAGGTAGGCAATCGAGTAATATCAATTTAGATATCTCCGAATTTAATGAAATTGTCTTGGATAACAGGTTAACTAACAAGGATTATACTTAATTTTTGAAAAAATGTCTGATGTTAATTATAAAATAAATAAAAAGAATATATATTCATAATAAAGAAATTACCAAAATAGTTCATGTATCAAAACTGCAAAGTTACCACCCACATGACAAACAAAAATAATCTTATGAGTAATAAATAAATATACCAATTTAAATGCTAATATGATCTAATAATAGAAATAGAGTTAGTTAAACTTTTAATGTATATTTTATATTAAATTTAATGGATTTTCATTGTTAATTGTGAAATTATGTATCGAATATGGCTTGTCAAAACATGGTTTCGGTGAAAGTGTTGTCTCCCTTTTCTAGATGATTCGTACCTTTCAAATTTTCTGTCAAGTTCAGCGTTTGATCTAAACTGACAAAATTATGGCGATGTTTGTTTCTTTTTCTCTGTTTTCGGTCAACACCACAAATAAATAACATTTTTGTATTATATATATCTCATATTTGAAACTAGGATATTCCAGCACAATATTGATGATATTCCGGACTGTTTTCTTCCTTTTGGGAATTTCAGCCCATTATTCACCGAAAGTCCCCCTAAAAATATTGAAGTCCTAAACATCAAAATAGAGCCCAACGTGTCATTTTTTTTAAACATAGTTAACAATACTGAAGTCTCTAACTTCAGATTGAACTTTTTATCTTACAACAAAAAATTTCATATATATATATACATATGTTATTGTGAATGACCGAAATTGGTGGTTGTTGACTTCCACCGGCGAATGTTGACAATCGTATAATCGCTTTCGTAAGTGTCCAAAATATACACTAGGTCTAGTTAAGTGCCACTGCTAGGTATATATTTGCCCGGTACGTCCTATATCAATGTATTTTAAGATCAAGTGCCACTGCCCAGTAAGCATTTAACCGGCACTCCAACACTGATGTTTCTCCTGATCTATCCTCAGCAGATATTAAAATGCCGAATAAATATAATAATATTAACGAATAAATTCTTATCAAGTCGGATATAACAAATATTTCGGACTTTCACCAATGCGATTGTCATTCACCGATGATTGTCGACATTCTCTTGATTTCGATCATTCGCTGCAACATACAGGGTCTTTATAATTAAAGTTCCATTTTGAAATGGCTATAAAAACAAAACTACCCGACCAAATGTCATCAAACTTGGTAAATGTCTATAAAAGGTCATGGGATTTTAGTTCCCGCAAAAAAAAAAAAAAGTCAAAAATTCACCACCAGCGAAGAATGGCGCTGTACGCAATAGTGTTAAACAAATGTGAAATATGCAAATTTGTTTTACACGTCATGCGACTTTGCAGTTATAAAAGTTAGGCGCCTTGTCTGAGCTGTCAGTGTTCTGAGCCGACAATGTCTGTTACCATGCAAGACCGTGCTTTGCTCGTGAAATGTTACTATGAATGCGACAGCAATGAACGGAGTGCTTTACAAAAGTTTCGTACTGTAAAAGGAAAACGCCGAGGTCCAATGACACAGCAAGGTTTACGGTAAAAGCCGTGTAAAACAAATTTACATATTTCACATTTGTTTAACACTATTGCATACAGCGCTCCGCTGGTGGTGAATTTTTGAACAACTTTTTTTTGTTTTGTTGCGGGAACTAAGATCCCATGACCTCTTATAGACATTTACCAAGTTTGATGACATTTGGTCGGGTAGTTTTATTTTTATAGCCATTTCAAAGTGGAACTTTAATTATAAAGACCCTGTATATAATCATGGGTGCAAGTCTTCCGTCCCCAGGACGGATTTCCGTCTTTCGAAAATGTCCTCGGACGGAAGTAAGACGGAAACAAGACTGACTCGAAGACGGAAATCGGAATTTTTTTTTTCTGTCCTTAAAAATATTTTTTAGGTCTACGTTATTGGTCTACTTTCTTATGTCCTGTTGTTATTTTATCAAAAGACAGATGAATAAATATTTTTTGTGCAGTATTTAAACTTGATGTATTATGGTAAAGCTTTCTTAGATAATTTGCATATGTCGAGGGGGTATTGTGCATGTTAGGTATTTCAGCCTTTTTTACAACTTGCACCCATGTATATAATGTTATTCAGTTAAAAAAAAAGAGTGCGTGTGTATGTGTTAAACGTGAAAGATGGAACGTTTAAAAAAATGAATTCTTTTGTTTCCCTTTTCATTATTTTTCACTAAATAATTGTTTTTTTATGTATATAATTATTAAGTTACATATTCCTATTGCACTATTTATGTCTCTTCTCACCCATAATCTTTCTCTTTTTGCCATAGAACATTAGTTTTGTGTAGCGTTTGATAGCAGCAAAATTAAAAAAGGATTTGATACTTTTTAGAATCCCAAAATATTAAATTTCATTAACTATGCTAACGTTCTGTTAAATAGTGCCATGTTTTTTAAAAAAAAATTATGTCTGTGTTTGACTTTCTATAAAAAGCAAACAATTATTTTGAGTACCAGTTTTGTTAATTTTATATTTAACTATTGTTGGCAAATAATAAGCCAAAGCAAATCGTTATCCTAGAGTCCACTTTTATACTCAGTGATGAGAGTTTTGTAACCTCTGATTTAATTTCGAACCAACCTATAATTCATTTAATCTTACGGTTGCCTTTATGGAATTATTTCAAGTGAAATGCTAATAAAATAGAAATTGTGTTTTTTAAAGAAAAATATGATATTTCTAATAATATATATTGAGCAAATTATGAATAAAAAGCATTTAGACAATATTCCAACAGTATTATCTATCGTGCTTTTCAAATTAAAATAAATTTAATAAATACTTTTTACCATAATAATCATTTTATAATCACTATAATACCATAACCACCGTAATTTGGCTTATTTTAATCATTTTCAGCTTATGTATATACACCAGAAACAAACTAATTACTAGACTAGGTACAGCACAAGGGCCGGAAATTTAACTATCCGACATAAAACCTAATTTAAGGTTAATGATAAAACGATGAAAAATCTTCATTCCTCTAATTAAATATGGGTTATAACGTTCACAATTACCTTAAACTTCATTTATAAGGTTGGCGTTCCACCGAAAGAAAGTTGATTATTTACTGTTCCGAAGCCAAAAAAAAAGTGACCGCTGCTACAGACGATATGAGCAGTGCGCCAACATTGGTGTTGCATATTTAACTTTTGGTGCAAACTTTTTCCATTGTAAGTGTATTAGATTTAATTGCACTCTTTAAATTGTATAAGAAAGCTCGATTTCGTGTTAATTTGAAAAAAACAAAGTGCTTCGTCATACAATTTTTTTGTGTTTTTAAACATATAATTTGGTGATGTAACACACAACAGTTTATACAGTTTGGATAGTGTTGAGAAAAGAGAACAGCTCTTAGATCATATTTCTGCGCTCTTGTTGACACCCTTACCGAGAAAATGTACATTTTTTTATTTTCCGAGCTTGATTTTAAATGTTCCTCTGATCGGAAAAATCGGCACGGATCTCGTCTGACCCGGAGTCAAGCCCCGCCCATATTGTCTAACATTAAATTAATTCACGCACAATATCAACAATGGTATTATCAATCATTCAAAAATTCTTATTAAGAAACTAACAATGTATCTAATAAAAACTAGCAATCAATGAATTTGGATCGACATCTATTATCACGTTTATTTTCGTTGCTGCATACTGCATTGCTTAAGTTCAAATAAAAAATAGAAACAAGCGTACAAAACTGTTTATTTAAAGGTTTTATACATAAAAGTATAGCGTAAAGTGCGGCAAAAAAAAGAAAGAAAAAAGATTCAAAACGACGTTTAATAGCTGCCAAAAGTTGCCTTGTACGAAAAATGTGACAAGAATTTTGAGAACTCGCTGCACTCGTGAAGTTTCACTTTTTTGTACTAAAAGTTTGCGGATTTTATTATTGAAATTTAGAGATTACTTATTATTTTTTTTTACTGATTAGACGTAGTCATGTGTATCACACACGTTAATTATGCTTCATACCTTTCAAAGTCATTTTACGGCCAACTGAAACCAGTATCAACATCAAACCATTCAGCTAAGTTTACGTTTGTTTTTAAAAAAATTTGTTTGGATTTAATGAAAAGTTCTCACGTATTTCGCTGAGTGGATTCTGTGAAACCTTCGTTTGCATCTCCCTATTCTGGTCGTCACAAAGTTGTTAACGCAACGACGAAACATTCAAATTTCTGGAGAAATATAATAAAGTTAGAGTCAGCATAGATATTTTATAACTGGCGTTGAAAAGCGGTCCCAATTCTGAAATTTACTATTATCAATGTTCGACTCAGTAGTCTCGTTATTTTTTACCCGGTTCAGAAGACAAGGGAGCTCCTGGATCGAGTTTTGGGATAAAGTAGCCTTCATGGAGGATATTTTTGAGGAAACTTACACACATTTGCGTTTCATGGTGAGGAAAACAACCCATGGTTAGCCCGTATGATCCGTCAAACTTATGATCCGTCTACCATTGAGGATATTTCAAGTCAGCACTGCGGTCGGTACGAGCCGGAAGCAGAATTCGTATCAATCAGCCACCACTGGAACTCGAACCTGGGGAGCGTCATTGGTAAGTGAATACTCTATCTCCTGAGCCAATGGTAATAGAATACGATAATGTACCTTTTTTCGCATTTTTGTATAGGAGATTGATCATTCTTTGGTTCAGGTCAAAATTACGATGTGTGGGCATATGAATGGGTCCGTTCTATAAACGGACTCTGACGTGTGTATGGCTGAAGTCGTATTCTTGGCCTTGGATGGTGTCACTAAAAATATAAAAGACATCTTCTTCCTTAAATCCGCTTGGTTTCCCCAAGCAGGCTTGCTGATATTGGCAAGTGGCATTAGAAACAACACAACAGTCATATCCCATTAATTTCTCTACACAAACTTCTCCGCAAAAACAAAGAGTTTCTTTGCTTATTTACGTTGCATAAGTGTTTAACTGTGACTTTAATTGTTTGAAACACTGTCAATCTCTAGCAGCTTCTTTTTACCTCTGTTTCTTGACGTTTTTGAAGGGAAAAAAATGATAAGTTTAAAAACATTGACTTGTTTACCCTATCTGATCCGGGAAGTCTACACAATGCACGTTTTTGTTCTATTGAAGACTGTCGACATCAAAGTTGCCGATATAATTTTAAGTCCGCAATGATAAAGATGATTGTGAACTAAATATGAAATAACTTATGTAATATGACCTTCAATTTATTGAAGATGTAAGAAATATTCCCGTGACAGTTTTGATAAGAAGCTTTAAATAGTTGGTGGCTCGTGTCCAACCTTGGCCTTCTTAATTGATTCACTCTGATGAAAGGTTTATGAATAAACGATTAAATATACAGTAGAGAGTAAAAGATAGAATCTGTATAAGCGTCACTAAAATTTTAGGCAGATTGGAATTTTGTTTAGTGTTCACCGATTGATTTTCTCCTCTTTGATCGAAAATGGCAGGGTAAGAATTATTTTCTTTTTAAGGAAATTCAACTCTCTATATGAAAAGTTATGATTAAAAATAGTGAAATATTTCTAGTTTTAGCTGTCACGTTTAGTTTAGAAATAATATAACAGCATGGAAGTCTTAATCTATGTTTGTTTAAGTGGAATTGAAAGGAAAAATCAGTTCTTTTTATTATTTTTTTTGCCACATTTAAAACGTAAGTCGAAAGTATTTTTCGCAAGATATGCAAGCATCTTCGATGAACATAGATGTTTATTACGATGGTGATACTTATTTCCGTTTTAGATGTTGAAAATAAAATATAATTATTTTTTCCTTTTTTAGATTACGTAAAAAACGTAGTTTTTTTAATTTTATATTACTTTATTATTTTTCTTGATTATTTTTCTTTAGTTTTGTATCTGTTAGTTTATGTCGGGAAGTGGTCGAAATTCTGCTAAGCGATCAATTTTATTGGTTATAAGTTTTGTTTGCAGCTGTCAGGTAATGATTAAAACTTGCCTAATCCCTGCCAATTGTCGGCCAGGATATACATCCTACACCAATATAAATTTTATTTAAATTGAATCATCCTCTATTATATGAAGCAACATACTTTACAGTAGTAGAAATCAAGCAATACCACTGTATTTAATTTTTTTCTTACAGATAATTCTAAAAGTTATAAGGGCTAGGCAATTATAAATTAAATTACTTAAAGTTAATCCAAATTACTAAAAATAAATAAGATTTGAATCTCTTTCTATGTTTGTTAGTCTTTCACTCTTCTTATAAGGGACCGTTCACATATTATGTCTGCAAATTTTAGACACTTCATCCCTACTTGTCACTTAAAATAAGCAAATCATTATCATTTTTGTGCTAACGTAAAAAAAAGTTACAATCCTTTATTTTTGCTTTGAATTTGACTTACTGAAGTAATTTAATTTCAGGATTAAATCCATGTTTTAATTTGTTTTTAGAAATCTTTTGTGTTTTACTTCTGAGAAGTAAATTCTTAACCTTTGAAACTCTTTGAAGGAATTTTTTTCTAATTTTTCTTTCGCCAAATTTATCTCTCTATTTCAAATTTCCAATTTTTTACCTAATTATTTTCTTAATAGTACTTTATTTACGTCACACTAGAGCTGCACTCTGTGCTTCAGTTGATGGTCAGGGTAACATCCTTGAAGATGATCAGAAGGCATACCATCGCAATTTTGATCCTTTGCTGTGGGGATGACTCCCCCGCTTCGGCACCCGGCGACCTGAGTGCGAAGTAAAGCACACCACGGTAGTACAGTTTAACGAGGGCAGATACAGCGCACCCTCGTCCCTACGCAAGCTGATTAAAGTGGTTAACTGCTATTTATTTCTTTATTTCAAAAAAAAATTGAAGTAAAAGGATTTTAATGTCAAACATAAGTATTGATCATACTCCTCCTCATCCTTCGTCAACAAAAATATACAAAAAACAAACCCCTACATGAACGGTCCTTACATCTGTTTTCTTTTTGCACTTAATAAAAATGTTAATAGTATAAAATAACAAAGTACTTGTATTTTCTGTGCATTTTTAATCATTTTAATTGTTTACTTTAGTTATAAACCTGTAAAAATTGCTTACAAAGCTTTCGAACCAGCTGGAGGAAGTAATGATGCATTAGCACCAGTCATATTTTTACACGGTGTTATTTGTTCGAAAGAGATGTGGGATGATATACCACAAACCATCGCAAACAAAACAAAAAGAAAAGTAAGTCTTTTTTTATTAATATTTTTTATTCTTCTAAGAGATTTTTTTTAAATTGCGCCGTGGCATGCAAAAGCTGATGGATTGCATTCCCTGGGATTCAACTAAACGGTCATCCAATTACAGACGACTGAATTAAAATTACATCAGAAAAATATGAAATTTTTAACATAAAAAAAACCTAGTAATTTTAGCTTTTTTTTTCTTTGAACTGCAAAGATGTAAAGAAAAATAATTTCAAATAAATGTTGACTCAAAATATAAATTTATGGTTTTATAGTTTAAAATATTTGTTCAACAATGAATAAAATCAATCAGTTCATAAGCCATTTTTCTTTTTATTTTCAATTCTTATCCTAGACACAAAAAAAGGAAGAAATATATCACCATTGATATTATATTTATCTATGACATAAGTGATTGGTTTTCTATTTATATAGCTTTTATCGAGAAATTTGTAATCTCAAAAGTTAATTGAAATAGTAAGCAGTTTAGAACTATCATTTGGTGATTTATCGAAAATAAAACCAACCGAGGCAGAGTAATTTTCTATTTGATTTCGCAAAAGATGAAGCGTAAAACACGTAATAAAATTATGGGAAGTAAATAAAGGATATGAATTTTTATACGAATGGAGAGCAGTAAAAGGAAATATATCTATTTTTAAAAATTGACTTTCGCTTTTCTGTGACTACGTGGAATAATAAGTTAAATATAATTTTTATTGAGAAAAGAAGGAAAAAAATAAACATGAAGTTAAGAATTTAATAAAATGAATAAGCTAGGAAATAGACCTGAAAATAACCAAACACCACTAGCCCCAAGGTGAGTCAAAATGGAGCTTAAATAAACAACCAGTTTCTTTTTCCCATCACTTTTTGAAATAATCATTTAATGATAAGAGTACATATCATAATCAATGTCAAAAAAACTCAGGAAAATAGAATTTTCAATAAATTTTGATTCTTCAGAATCCATGGATTTGTGGTAGAAAGTTTATATGGAAGGAGACAATTCACATATAAAAGATCACATATTTCGAAGTCGTAATGTATAAGTTCTTGTGAACGAAAGAAATTAGTGGTTGTTGACTTTCACCGGTGAATGTTGACAATCACATAGTCGCCTTGGTAAATGTCCGAAATATATATTAGGTGTAGTAAAGTGCCACTGTCAGTTATACATTTGCCCGGTATACCCTACACTGATGTTTTTTCAAGGTTCAGTATCACTCGGAACACTGATGTTTCTCCTAATCTATCCTCAGCAGTTATTAAAATTGCCATTGGCCGTTATACATTTGCCCGGTATACCCTACACTGATGTTTTTTCAAGGTTCAATATCACTCGGAACACTGATGTTTCTCCTAATCTATAATCAGCAGATATTAAAATATCGAATAAATATGAAATATCAACGAATGAATTAATATCAAATCGGATATAACAAATATTTCGGACATTCAACAAAGCGAATAGGTGATTGTTGACATTCACCGATGAAAGTTGACATTCTCATGATTTCGGTCATTCACGGTATAATTCTCTTTTGCCTTCTCAGATGTTTTTACTTAAAATTCTTTAAAGTCAGTATGGCAATTAAATTGTGTCATTCATTTATATTGTTTTCATTGAATTACATTTTTATACCCTTAAATTATTTCTAATATGAGATTTTTTTAAAATATAATTTAATCTAAGCAAAACAAAAGTTTTCAAAAAGTGTCTATCAAACGAAAAGGACCTATCGATATCAGCCACCGACTCATTAAGTTAGAGAAAACGCGGCACCTAAGTCTTTCGAGTCTACCGGCCTCTGGCTACTAAATGAAAATTTAAATTTTCAGGTCTACTATGAAATATGTAATATCTATAATGGCATCACATATGTTTAGTTCATATATGCATAGATGTCAAACCAAATGTCCTTTCTGTTTCCCTCTTGTTTGGCCCGTTTGATATGAAATCACACTATAAAATTCTTCACTCACATAATAAACACGCTAGTGGACTTTAAATTCTCATTTTATTTGAACTGTAATAGTTATAGAACATACTTCTTCGGTATAGAATAGTATATATTTCTGTATCTATATAATTCGGAAAACAACAATAAAAAATCATCCAAATTACTTGAAATAGTGCCATTTGTGCTGATTATTAATAAATTTTTAATCATTTTCTTGGTAACTATTTTTGAGTTTTGAAAGAATAATTTCAACTAGATTTCAGCTATTCGCGATCGCAACGTTCGAGTACGCCCTCTAGCGGGAGCCTGTAAATATCAGACATTAATTTATCACGTTTTCATTTAGTTCCACCAAAATCATTGACAGAATCGGATGCCATTTTTCAGCAGCAAATAAGAAACAAAATTTCCCTAAGGAAAAGGCCGAAGAACTTGAAAACACTTGCCAGAACATTGGCAAATCTTTCAGAAACACGCCAAACATTGAAGAAAAACTCCTCAATAATTTTTACTTTTCTATTATCAACAANTCAGTAGCCTGACGACCTGCACGCGAAGTCGAGCACTTCACGGTAGAACAGTTTAACGAGGACCCATACCGCACGATCTCGGTCTCTACGCAGACTGATCCACGTGGTCACCCACCCGCACACTGACCGCAGCCAGTGGTGTTTTATTAATTTTTTTATAACCGTCGTTGAACAGCCGACCCAATTTTTTGGGTTTACGGCTACTAATGTTCAACTCCGTAGCCTTGTATTTTTGAATCCAATCCAGAAGACAAGGGAAAACCTGGATCAAGTATTGGGAGAAATTTTGCCATTGTGGAGGACTTTTTGATGCAACTAACCGGCATTTGCGTTACATGGAGAGGAAGACCACGAGAACTCTCACGGTTAGCTTCACGGCAAGGGGACTCAAACCCAAGATCTGTCTACCACTGAGGATATTTCACGTCAGCTCTGTGGTCGGTGCAAGCAGGATGCGGAATTCGTATCGACCAGCCATCACCGGGATCGAACCCCGGTTCACCTCAGTGGAAGGCGAACACTCTCTACCCTGAGCCATCACGGCTCAGCCAGTGATGTTTGACTTCAATGATCTGTCGGGAACCGTGTCTTAACGATCAGTCCACTGAGGGACTTAAATTTCGATGAGCTGCTCATAATGACGATCGCGATATAACGACAATTCACGAGTTGCTTTCGATGAGCTGCGATGTTCATAATTTCACCAAATTCAATATTTCGTTTTAGCTCAGATTACAGGTCACGCGATTTTTCCAGATGATAAGCGATTAATAATGGTTGGAGTTAAAGCTTTTTTTCCCCATCATACTAGCCGTGCATATTTCCATATATATCTTTGCGTTTTCACGAGTCTATGAATTGAAGCATATGGAGAGATTCTGGACTCTGCGCGGCAAAACAAAACAAGAATCCAAAACTAAAGCTGATGCGTTTTCAGAAATAAAAGAAAATATTTTTAAAAAAGATAAAGAAACTGCAGACTTTACAGAATCTCTCATTTTAGAACAGGAAAGGACATTTTTTTTTATAAAAGTATTTCTGTGAGATAAGTAGCATGAATTTCTCTAAGTAGCGCATTTTTAAGATTTGTAGCTTTTGAAAAATAATGAGTAGCCCAAAAAGTAGCGGGTAGCCCAAATTCGATTTTGTGTAGCGTGGAGTTTTAAAAGTAGCCCAATCCGCTACTTATAGCCCAATCTGGCAACACTGCGCTCTTCACGAAGCAGACGCAGCGATGATCTCACAGAACACTTCTAAAAACACTTTCTCCAAACTCGTATAGATGGCGCTCTAGCACCCTCAATATTTAAAGTGGTGACGATTTAGATGCTTAATTTATTTAAATCGCGATAGCAACGCTTGAGTTCGCCCTCTAGCGGGAGCCTGAAAACATCAAGGATTAATTTATTAACGTTTCATTTAGTTCTATCAAAATCATTGACAGAATCAGACGCCATTTTTTAGCAGCAAATAAGAAACAAAATTTCCCTAAGGAAAAAAGGTCGAAGAACTTGAAAAAACTCTCCAGAATATTAGTAAATCTTTCAGGAACAGAACACGCCAAACATTTGAAGAAAAATTCCCTAATAATTTTTAATTTCTATTATCAACAAACTTGCAACTGATGACTTCCGATTTCGGATACTGTTACATATATGTGTATTACGGTAAAAGACTTCTTTTCTGTCCTCAATTCTTTACAAATCAAAGTGAAGTCAACATTGCTTTCTTCATTCCAATGAATAAATGTGAATTCAGAACTGTAATAGTTATAGAACATTCTTCTTCGTTATAGAATAGTATATATTTCTGTATCCATATAATTCGGAAAACAACAATAAAAAATTATCCAAGTTACTTGAAATAGTGCCATTTGTGCTGATTCTTAATTAATTTAAATCGTTTTCTTGGTAAGTTTTTTTTAATTTTGAAAGAATAAGTTCAACTAGAATTCAGCTATTCTGTTTTTAGCTACATATTCAAATTCATATCAATTATAAAATTTTGCTGTGTAGTATGTTATCTAAAAGTAATGAAGGTATAAACTATGTATCTATTATTTGAGAATAAAGTTTTCAAACAAGGAACTTATCATTTTGGAATTCTCCGGGAATCATAAATCAGGTAAGTGCAATGATTTTTACAATAAAAAATTTGCTTGTAAATATTTTTTTTTCATTTGATGATGGTTCTCTACAGAATGGTTTTTTACGTCTGATTAAGAACTATAAGAATAATAAAAAAAGAAACAATATGAAAGTTTTTATTTCAATGTTAAGAATTCTTAAAATCGTTTTTTTTATCCTAAGAATTCTTTATTTTCCGTTTTTTAATTTATAACTTTTTGATAAATATTGTTCTCAAAATACTATTTTTGAAAAATTAAATGGTATAACATTATGTGTTTATGTATACTTCTTGTATATTCCAATGTTTGAAGTAATATGATTCAGAAAAGTATGGAATAAAAATTCGGTACTTACGTATTAACGCCACCGCCGCTACAGATTTGGCGGTTTTTAAGTGCCGCTAATCTACACTTAAAATTTTTGCGACAATTCATAAAATAAAACACTTTATTTAAAATCAAAATAGTTAATCGGATTTCGGTGGAAAATGAGCCGATATAGAGTTTAGCATAGATTCAAAACAATCATATCGCCATATGAACTCTGATAAATAAGATTCCAAATGAAATAACATTTCCAAAACGTACGTTTACCAAGATAAAGTTTTATGTTGTGGGAATTGGTACATTTTCGTTTTTTCGGTAAAATATTTCCCTCCTGAAAAAATAAAATTGCATCTTGTTTTGTTTTTGGCAAATCCCAAAGACGAATATTCGTAGCACTAAAAATGGCGACAAAAAAGAATTTTTTTTTTGTTTTTGTTTCGTCAGCATTCTTTATTTTACGTTTCTTAGTTTCTAAATAATGATTTTTATTGAAACTTGAAATTTTTTGATAAAAATTGTTGTCAAGAAACATTTTTTACAAAATTAAATCTCATAAAATTATGACGCTTATGTATACTTTTTGTTCATTTTAATTTTTGAAGTATATTCTTAAAACTATGGAATGTAAAGCTTAAATAGGCCTTTCATGTTATATCATTAAATTTAGTAAAACTATTTCTAAGGCATTAGGTTTTAACTCTTATAAGAATATACATATTTTTTTCTGTTTGCTTACAAATATTTTTCCGATGTGTTTTGGGTGTTCCTTCTCTAAAAAAAAAAAAAAAACCATTTTGTTTTCGTTTGCATAAGAAAGAATATCAAACATTTTTCTTTTTTAAATTTAATAAGCCACAATGAAGAAGGAACGTTGCAATGCTACGCGCTACATTAAAGACGTCTCCAGAGTAAATGAATGGCTGTTCATATAGAAATCGCAGGTATTTGTCTCATACAACAACGCCCCCTATAGTTCGTTGCGATCGCGAATTTCAGTAGACTTTCACGGTATTTTTTATCAGATCTAAAATTAGTTTAAATTGTTTATATTTAGTAGTGAGCATAATCATTGTATATAAAGCTTATTAAACCAAAAATAAATGATAACGCACTTTGAATATTTGAGAAAAACACCCCGAAAAAAAAAGTGAGAGAAGTTGACTAATATGAAAATATTATATTTGTGATTACAATATTGTGTATTAATTACATCTACGAAAATGTTTAGGGTAAAATCCTAGTATGTGTTAATGCTGTCTTTCGAAGGCTCCGTCGTAATATGCTCCGTCGTAAAAGATGCTTTTTTGCGAATAATATGCTATTTTTATAAATGCTGGGAGTTTGCAACTGTTACTCATAGCTATTAGATCAAGTTCAGCCTATCTAAAGCTAGATCTGTCTGTACTTATTTTGAAAATGGCGCAAAACATTAATATGAAGAAAAGCCACAATTTTGTGAAAATGAAAAGCATTTGCAGTCTAATTTTTTAATATTCAAAAACTTACTCCAATGTTGCACTACTTGGACTGATAAAGATTTGCAAAAACTGAGAATATTACAGTGATTTTGATGATTTTCATCTAGGTGGAAAATGTCACCAAATTGACGACTTTTAAATTTTGATTTATTTAATTTAATTTATAGAAAAGGCTTAATAATTTTTTAAATATTTTCGTTACTTGTCTATTCTAAGGCCCAGATAATTCTTCACGGCAAGATTATATATAAAGTTTAAAATCATTGCATTGTTTCAAGTGAAAGGCACTTAAACTATGACAGTTTTATTTTCCTTGGCGACAGAACTTCGAAAAAAACAGCGTTAAACGCTTGGAGTGATTTTGGAAAATCTCGTCAATCATCGCCATTGCCGAAATAACGCGTTGAAACTTATCGTTATTTAAACTACTTTGCGATGAAGTAAAAAATATTGAAATCAGAAGTTTAACTAATTAACAACGTTTTAAAAATTTCCTTTTCTGCATATCTTATTGCTCTATTCGTGATTTAACTTATATTATAAGCATACATTAATTTAGCATCATGAAGTAATCTATATTTCAAGATGATCATAAATTTTTTTTTCTTTAAATACCATAAAGAAATTTATTCCAAAATGCAAATTGGCTTAAAATCAATTTTAAAAGCACTGTATCTCGCCAAATGTACTACAATGGATTGTAAACTTCAGCTCCCTCCTTAACATCGTCAGTGTCGCTAAATCCACCAAGTAACGTATACCAAGACTAAGCCTAGTTTCATTCCACGAAAATAAAAAATAAGAGCATTAAATATTGTTCTATATTCTTCAGGCCTACGTATACGATGCAAGGAACCACGGAGAAAGCGAATCATCTGAACACTACAATTATGACTTAAACGTTGAAGACCTATTTCATTTCATGAATGGACTGGACATTAAAAAAGCAGTTTTAGTTGGCCATAGTATGGGAGGCCTCACAGCCACAGATTCTGCGCTTAAAAAGGTAATATCGTTATATTATTTTTGGAGAATAAAGAGATTAAAATGCTTAAATTTTTTTGAAGTTCATGAAACATTTCTTTTTTAGCCCGATAGAGTTGAAATGGTATTTTCAGAGGACATGTTTATAAAGAAAATTCCTGCTCAAATTGTTGACGATGCTGTCAAATACATAACAGTTTGGACTGAAGTTGTACGCAATCTTCCAAAAGATTTAAAAGAAAGCGATGCTTATAACCAAGCTGTAGATATTCTTTATGAGAAAAATCCAGGGACCGTAAGTGAAGCAAATTAATTTTTTTTACAACATTGGAAGATTTTAATATTGCACGTCAATATTAATATTACGCGTTAATATTACATTTAAATCCTGAAAAGTTTCCATGTATAGAGAGTGTTCTGAAATAACCGTACCAAACATTTATTTTAAAAAAATTATCGTTCACTACCCTACAATAATGGAAGAGACATTTCGAGTTTTTAACATTTTTTAAATTTCCCGAGAAATACTTCCCGAGATTCTTTTATAACTTTAGAAATCGTTGGCGATACATCCTCCGATGTACCGCCATCATCACTACACTCCCTCTATGTATTCCTAAGCAATTTAAGCTGTGCGAACAAAGGAGGTCGACCTCCTTTGTTCGCACAGCTCAAATTGCGTAAGTGTTGTAGTAGTAGAGGCAGGGCCTATAGTGAGTAGTAAGGAAAGAAGGAAAGAAAATTAGTTAGTCCATTACAACTATATTATAGAGGATTACTCCTTCTATATCATCACTCCCTCCTTCCCCTCAGGTGAAGGTCTAGTATACACATCTATCCTCCTTCCCTTCAGGGAAGAAGGAGAGCCTAGATACTAGCCTAGTAACTAGCTCTTCCCTGTGGGGAAGAAGGGAGGGTTAAGTCACTAGCTTAATATTATCATGACATCATCTCTTACGTCATACATATTAGAGCTAGATACACTATACACCTTCCTACCCTGCATCACAAACGTGCAGGATAGGAGGGAGTGATGATCAAGCAGGCTTTTCTAAATTAAAGAAAAAATCCATTTATTTCAATAATTAAGAAATTTTAATTAATTACACATATCAATTATATCTCTGTTTAAAATTAAACAGAACTTGTTCATCCAAGACAAGATCAATAAAATTTATAATAAATCCAACGGATCACGTCGCGCTTTCTAGAAAAACACCTGCTCAAACAGAAGAAGAAGAGAGAGACATGTCTAAAGATGAATATAAAAAGAAAGCGCGTTCTGAACGAAAACAACACATTCCGAAAACATGTTAAGTGATCTATATCACTTTCTCTTTTTTTATCTCAAACAACAGTGCCAGTTTACTTCTAGAAAATGCCTCGACCAGGAACCAGTTCAGGTAATTCATCGTCCGAATGAAAATTCGACTATCGAATTATGGTTTTTAGTATTTTAAACGCTATCTGGTTAGACGACTGCACCCTTTTAAAAACTCTCTTCAAAAAACGATCGGTTATTTTATCGGAACACGTCCTAGACGATACTTGCGAGTACAAGAAATTACATTACCACGGATTAATCGAATTAAATGCTAATCAACGCTTTGACAGCGACCAAAAAAATGCGCTCCTTCTTTAAGTCTCAAAAGTGTATAGCACCGGTGAATTTCCTTGCATACATGAAAATTCCCCCTCGCCAAATTGTCTTAAACAATTCATCAGAAAATTCGCAACTAGATTTCTTATTAAGCAAAGTCACCGATGACATTGAAACGTGTGGCAACACGTTTCAATGAAAAGAAAAGACCGGGAAGATAGCAAAAACGTCACGTGTGAGGACATTAGCAAAATCATACAAGTGATTTTAGAGACACGAGCAGAATCCGAATCAGAAATAATAAATTACTTCCATCACAATAAAGAGTTCGACTATATCTTTTGCAAACGAAATTTCACAATTAATTTTAAGAAAGCCCTACAACTAGCGATGCAGTCTTGCCTGGACAAACCCATACTTCAACTCTGTCAAGAGTACATGAACCCTAACACTGAATGCCTTTGTCCGATGAAAAGCGCATCCATTATCCAAAAATGGTGCGAATTCCTAGGTATCGACACTCGCGAATTCGTATTAAACACAATTAAAGTCATGGGTAGGGCCGAAAAAAAGGAAAACACACTTTATCTTTGCGGGGAACCAAATTCTGGAAAAGCATATATTGCGAGATCTTTGGCCAAGGCCGCCTCCTTCCATTGAGAAATCACGCAGGGCACTTCGGCATACACATTTATGTGGCAAGACTGCATAAATAAAAGACTAATTATCATAAATGAACCATACTTTGACTTAGCGGTGATAGAAAAATTAAAAGTAGTGCTAGAAGGAACTGGCACGTTTGTGCGCTAAAAAATGTGTGGTGATGAGTATCTGCTACCGACTCCTGTGATCCAACACGCACGTGTGGAACCTATGTCCTCAGGCGAAGGAACCGATTGAAGCAAGACTACTGGCATTCTACGTCAAAAGACTTGAACCTTCAATGGTTCACAATACTAGTGCCAAAAGTTCCTGCAACCCAACGAAATGGATCTATGAAAGTTTCAGCTATTTTTAATATTTTTTTTCTTCCAATGCTCACCTGGACAGTAACTATTCGTCACAAAGGCATCTGAAGGGCAGATTTGTTGGCCACTCTTTCAGTTGCACCATATTATGAGGACCAACGTTGCTCTGACAGTAAAGACAGTTAGCACATAGAGTGGAAGAACATCCATGTCTTGCCCGGGATTCCCCGGAAAAATGTTAAAACTTAAAATAAATGTTAAAAATATAATTATTTATTTTTTTCAATTTAGGATAGGTTTGCGTTGCGGGCCGTACTTTCGTGTACCAATTTTAACATTTTATAACACTGTACAGTGCGCAAAATAAAAAACGGACCACCATGAATAACTTGTGATCTAATGATCAGGTCTTCACGTCCTATGACTCACTCTTAGGGATTTGAGGGGGTGACCTGAAATATGCTAATTAATTAATGCAGACGATAAATTTAGTTACGAAACGCACATTGTCTGAATAAACATACCTTTTACTCGACGGATTCAGACTTTTGAACCCCGAAATATAGGGGGTAGCTGAAATCGGTAACTGAATCTAATAGTTTGGTCAAGAAGTTTGGATTCCATAACGTTAATTTTACTTTATGCATATTCGCCATTATTTCGAGAACTCTTTAAGCGAATTGTAAAACTTTAGCATACAATTATAAAAGTCGTTTATCCGAAGATAATTTCATGCAAAATGTAACGTTTAGAAAATATTTGTTATCTTTTATTATTTTATTTATATTCAAAAATTTTGAATAGTAAGATATAAAAAATGTTACATCATTTTGAAAAATTTCATTTTAAATCGAAAAATTCAAAATTTAAACGAAATCAGTCGAATAGTTCCTGGAAAATAGAATTTTAAACCAATGACTTTTTCAAAATTCGTTTTCTCATTAACTATTCGATCGATTTCAATAAAACTTTGTATTTTGCCATTTAAAATGGCATTTTTTTAAATGCATTAGAAATGGCCTTATAATTCAAATTTTTATTCGACTATTATTAAATAAGTAATAAAAAATAAAAAGCAATAAATATTTACTTAAAGTTATATTTTGCATGAAATTATCTTCAAAAAAATGAATTTGATAATTGTGGACAAAAATTTTTCAATTCCCTCAAAGAATTCATTCTCGAGATATGGTGAAACACGCAAAAAGTAAAATTTACATTAAGGGGTCTAAACTTCGGACCGCTCTCCGGACCAAACTATTGAAACCATATTTCTTAGATTGCGGCTACCCCCCCCCATATTTTGGGGATCAAAAATCCAAATTCGGTGATAAAAAGGTATGTTTATTCAGAGAAAGTACGTTTTTGTGTCTGATTTCGTATCTAAAAATATCGACAGTACTAATCAATTAGCATATTTGGGGTTACCCTCTCGAAACATTGAGTCCAAGGACGTGATGATCGGATCATTAGATCTATGGAAGAATTCATAACTAAAGTTCTATTTTATAACGATACAAATTATTTAAATTTCAGGAGATGTTTTCACCAAAAGAGGTTTTAAAGAAATCTAAACTTCTCTTGAAAAGAAAATCAGATGGAGGATATGACATAAATTTCGTGAAAGATCCAATGCTTAAATCATTTAGAGATCCAGAAACTTTGAGAACCAATCCCAGTGGAGAGTTTAATGGCCCTGCTTATTTCCTGTATGGTGGAAATTCACCATTTGCTGTGTAAGTTCAAAAAAGTTTGCATTTTATAAATTTCTTAATATTTATGCATATTTCGCGAGCATCTAAGTTCTGATTCTTAAAACAAAAATTTTTATTCGCTTACCATAAGAACTCTATTAAATTCCTTTTTTAGGTTAAAAGTTCGAATTCTTTAACAAAATTGTAATTATTTTTGTTACAGTAGTTAAAATTTACAGCAGAGAGGAGCATAATTCTTATCATAATATTGTTTTATATTCCTCTCTAATATGATTGCAGTTTTTTATTTATTGTTTATGCTATATTTAGTTATAAACTGCAATTTAAAACAGAATATAATTTAACAATTGCTTAAAACAGACACAAATGTTGTCAATAATTTTCTAACAGTCTTAAAATATATTCAAATAAGAAAAATCAGCTCAGTTGCTTCGGAGGGCCTGCCTACAACTTGTTGTGCATGCACGTGAAATGTTGATTTAGTTTAAAATTACGACTCCCTTCTGAGTTCAGCCAGAAGTATGAGTTGCATTCCGATCGCACAACTCAAAGTTTGGTTTATTTATCCTTAAAAAATACAATACAAGTTATTTTTTATTTAATTTTATGCAGATGAATTATGAGACCAAGTATGGCTTAACGTGTATTGTGTGTATGCTATTATGTAAAACGTATGGTTCTACTTATGGTCTATGGACAATTAAAATCCCTATTCTGCCTTACATAAGTCTAACTGAAAAACGCAGTCATAACGACTACTAATTTTTAGCGCATACGCGTGAAATGTTGATTTAACTGAAAATAACGACTTCCAGCTTTCAACCTGAAGTATGGGCTGCTTTTCGATCTCGCAACTCAAAGTTGAATGCATTTGTCGTTAAAAAATTTAATGTGAATACCTTTTTAATTATCATCGCGTGTCTTTAATGATTTTTGAGATCTAGTGGTGATAAGATAGCGAACACACTTTTCCAGACTTATTTTCAGCACCAATGCACCGTATACGGGTGGATATTTTATTTATTTATTTTTATTGAAATTACATACATTTGCTGACTTGTGTGCTCAATATATAGGCTTATAAGTCATTGTCAAGTAGAAAATACAGATAGAACAATTCAGAGAAAGACATCACAAAGAATACATCCAGGGTTACAGCGGGATTCGAACCCGCTACCTCCACGCTTAACAGAGCGTTTGGACCTTCGATACCGCTCGGCCAGGGAGGCCCCTACGGGTGGATATTTGGCCGAACCCTAGGCCAACTTGATGTCCAAGTTTAGTTGATTTATCTTTAAAAAATAAAATGCAAATAGCTTTTGAATTACTTCCGTATGTAGAAAGTTTTGGTAAAATCCTAGTATACTTTGCACTCTTGGCGCGATTTCGAAAAATGTCGTCAGAACGTAAATGACGAGTTGACGCTTGTTCCCAAACAGTTGCCAACGCCGAAATAACTTATATGCGATTATCGCCAAACTTTGGCGTAGGCGAAAACATAAAAAATCGTAACCCGAAAATGGCAAATTCATACTGGGCAGTTTAATTTAACAATAAAAAATGTCAGTGTACGGTGTACCGGACCATGGCACTAAAAAAAAAACTCAACTCATTTATTTAAAAAAAAATTCTATTACTAAGGTAGATAACTTACTGAAATAATCCCAAACTATTATTTTACAGCGCTAAACATGATATGTTGTTGCAAGTTTCCTAAAAAAAAATAGCAATGTATAAACACAAAACTATTATTTAACGATGCGAAACAGGCATAAAAAAGATACAATAATAAACACGCGTATCCTACTTCATTTCCTCAAAATACATTGAAGTTATAACAATCTTTTATCATCATTTTAGCAAATGCATTATCAATAAAAAAATTACTCCAGATTCATAAGAAAGCTTTTCCCATACCACAACAGTTACAGCGTACATTTAACATTCTATTCAAAATAATACCTACCATAACATTGATTCAGTGGCTGGGTGACGCAGTTGGTTTGTCGTCGGCCTTCTGAGCCCAAGTCTGCGGGTTCGATCCCCGGCCCAGACACCGGATTTTCGGGATGCAGAAAATCCTCAGCGGCCATGTCGTATGATTATGCGGCATGTAAATGATCCCTGGAGTGCCTTATTGGCTTTTGGAATTTCCGGCAAAATTAAATTCCTAGTGCACTTTAGCATCCAAATAGAGTCTCGGTGCTGCCATCTAGTGTGGCAGAAACTAGACGTCCAAATTAACATCACCAACGGTATCTCACCCATTGTGGTGGTCCTGGGATACCACCTCTGGAGAACGCACTAGGTCTGCTCATCGGCAAGACCGGTAATGCAGCTCATTGGAAATAAAAATAAAAAAATTAAAATAAAAAAAAAACATTGATTCGGCAGGGAAAAAATATTCAATCCTAAAACCAAGACTTAGCAATTGAATTTCCGCGGAAGTTGCTGCCTAGAGAAACAAAACACCAATTAAACATTACTTAAGTCAATACTTTTCTTTTCCCATCAGCTGAAATTGAAATAAGTCATATACATCATCACAACGTTAAATATCCACCTCCAATACAATATCCTATTTTTTGCGATCAGCGCAATTATAAAACTGTCATTAAAAAAAATAAAGCTGAATGTACAAATAACTACAGATTGAAGCTTTATCGCCCTCCCAATCACCGCCAATTGTCACCAAGTCCACCGGGTAAGGCATGCTATGATTAAGCTTAAATTTTATATTTACTTAAATTTTATAAAAATTTTCGTGTAACTAAAATATTTTTTTCTACCTAATTAACTTTATTTTAGGGGAAACGAGGAGTCTCACATAAAGAAACATTTCCCGAAAGCTGAATTAATTGAATTCGAAGGGGCATCGCACAGTATTCATGGAGAATTTCCTGAAAAATTTGTGCAAACGATTGTGAGCCGATTGCAGTAACAGTTAAAATTCCATTTCTCATTACATACTTGTAGCTATTGAAAAGTAATTTATGTTAAATGAAAATTAATTTTATTTTTTATTGAAATGTAAACCTGTTTGAATTCGAAAGATTTAATGAGTTCGAAATCACTTCAACTAGTACAAAATAAAAATTTGCAGCTAGAACAACAATAGAACTTTTTGCAGGTGTTCGATTTATTTTCTGTTTTAAAATCAATACAAATTTATATTTATTTAACATTGTTATTGAATTAGAATTCTGATTTGAAAATATAATAAGTTTCATTTTTAAAAAAAAGCTGTATGGTTTTCGTTTCATCTTCGCACCTGCATATAAAAAATTCTTCTTGACCTTAAAAGTTCTGTTTCTATCAACTGTAAATCTATTTGTTAAATATTCAACCAATTGAAAAATGAGTAAAATTTCCCAATCATTTTTTTTCTATAAATATTTTTATTTTAAAGCTACTTATGAGTTTTAAGTATTTTCTATTTCTGAAATTTCATCAACGAAATGTCCCGCAGAGGACTGATCGTTAAGACACGGTTCCCAGCAGATCACCGAAGTCCATCACTGGCTACGGTCAGTGTGCGGGTGGGTGACCACTTGGATCAATCTGCGTGGGGATTGAGGGTATGCGGTATTGGTCCTCGTTAAACTGTTCAACCGTAAAGCGTCCGATTTCGCGTACAGGTCGTAGACTGCCGAAGCGGGGGTGCCATCCCCTCTCCAGAGGATCAAAATTGTGATGGCATGTCGTCGGATTATCCTCGGGGATGTTTCCCAGACCGTCGCCAATAACCCATTGAGCATCTCTAGTGCGACGTAAATGAACTACAACAACAACAACAACTTCAAATTAAAAAAAATTCTATACGAATTGAATAGATAAATTTTACGTTTAGTAATATCGCTGTCTACCTATCTATCCTTCTACCATCTCTCTTTCTCTCTCTCTCTGTATAAATCTATATATCAGGGGAAAACCAAAAATGGACTCATTACACACAAGAACGTTGTTAGCCAAAAGAAAACAATAAATTTAGGATATTTACTAAAAATTTAAATTAGCAAGAATACAAGAATACGTGTTTACAGCAACAACAGTGATGATGCCAAAAAAAGAGAAAAAAAAACAGCTTCATGGTACAAACATCTTACTGATGATTAGATCCCGCAAAGTGGGCTGATCGTTAAGACACGGTTCCCAGCACATCACCGAAGTCAAACATCACTGACTGCCTTCAGTGTGCGGGTGGGTGACCACTTTGATCAGTCTGCGTGGGGATTGAGGGAGTGCGGTATTGGTCCTCGTTAAACTGTTCAACCGTAAAGTGCTCGACTTCGCGTGCAGGTCGTCTGGCTACTGAAGCGCGGGTGCCATCCCCTCTGCAGAGTATCAAAATTTGGATCGCATGTCTTCGGATCATACTGAGGGATGTTTCACAGACCGTCGCCAATAGCCCATTGTGCAGCTCTAGTATGACGTAAATGAACTACAACAACTTACTGATGATTAAGGTATAAGTTGTTCAATGTGCCCTCCGCCTTGTTCCGCCACTAAATGGAAGTGCAAAACGGCATGCTCCACAACAGATCGGAGGGTATTTGTACTGATGCAATGGATGTGGTATGTGATGATTTCCTTCAGGTCAGCTAGATTCTCAATCCGCCAGCTGTGAACAACATTCTTCAGGTAGCCCCCTAGGCTTCAGGCTTCCACAAATCTAGAAATCGCACTAGTTTAAGTCGGGCAACGTGGTAGCCACGTTGAAGGAAATTGACGGTTTATGATCTATCATCTACGAAATGAGTTCTCAGCAGCTGCGTCACTGGAGCAGCAATGTGTGGAGGAGCACCATCGTGCATGAATATTGTGCGGTCAACACACTGACGCTGCTGAAGTGTCGGAAAGACATGGTTACGCAAAAGTCGTACCTCATACCTCATACCAGTAACGGTGCAGGTAACAGGATCCGCAGGTGTCATCTCATAGAAAAAAGAAACTGGCCGACAATATACACTGACGTTCGCCTACAGAATTTTCCATGGCCATTCGCTGTCACCTTCCATCTGGGCAAGCAATCGTAGTGCAAAAGATTCACATGAACTATCTTGTACGAGTAATAGCTCAAGACGTTCCGTAGGACTTTAGACACCGTGCTGTTCCGCATATCAAGCATTCTATCAATTTCCCTTGCACTGCTGATTCCAGCATCACTGTTCGTTTGTTCTTGTAATGCTACAGCCTCATCTTCCACTGCGGCAGTCAAAACTTGTTTCCTTCCGCTACCCCGTTTCACATCAAATGAACCGGAATTAACCCACTGGCGGTTTAGAAAGTGGACAAAGTTGTAAGAAGGTTTTTCCTTAATACGCTATATATACATATATATGTATATATATATGTTACGGTGAATTACCGAAGTCTCGAAAATGTCGACATTCCTCGGTGAATGTCAACATTCACGTAGTCGCTTAGTGTATGTCCGAAATATTTGCTAAATACCCTTATTTCTGACTTTCACCGGTGAATGTCAACAATCACATAGTCGCTTTGGTGAATGTCCGAAATATTTATTACAATCGACTTGATATGAATTTATTCGGGGATATAATTACATTTATTCGATATTTTAATACTTACTGACGATAGATCAGAAGAAACATCAGTGTTTGGAGTATAGGGCCATACATTTACATTTGCCCGGTATACATTTGCTCGGTATACCCAGTGGCGGACAAAGGCTAAACCGGCCCTAGGCAACAAAGTAATTCCGGTCCTATTTTTCAGTCATGACACATACTTTGCTATTGGTAGTTTGGTTTTAAAGCAGTTTGTAGGTTTGGTGTGTAATTAATTATCGGATTCCAAGAAAAAAGGAAAAAAATAATGTTCATGTACAAAAATTAAATAAACATAATTTATAAAAACAAACAATAATACTTAAACAAATATACCCAGATTGATTAATTATATTGCCTTTTTTCTCACTTTCAATTCTGCAAACTCGTCAATTAGTTAGTCATAATTAATAGAATTATTTAATAACTCTTTTTCTATATAAAGTCATGATGAACTATTTATTTTTTGTTGGTATAATGTTAATCTTAAATTTCTTTTTATTCTGGCCATTACTGAGAATGATCTTTCACCGCATTGCTTATTGGAAGGGTTAAATAAATTTTCAGAATTATGTTTAAATTAGGGAATCTTGCAATAATATTATTTTCCTGAATAAGTGACCACATGGATACAGGCGAAGTAATATTTTCTTTACTTATAAAAGTCTTAAATTGTAATTCTTCATTTTTTCAGGTCATAACATTTTAATTCCCCTATTGAAGAGTCATTAACATCACTATCATGAAAAATTGTTTTGAATTTATTGTTAATAGTTTTATATCTCTCAGATCTTTTTTTAATGTTGCTAATTAAAGAATCGCATACAGCAAAAAATTATTAACTTTAAAATGTTCTTTGCCACTGAATCTTATTTCATAGTCTGGAATTTCATCATGAAATATTTTTCGTATTTTCTGCCGTTTTTATCTTTAGTATATGCAGTATTTTTTACTTTTACTGCTTCTTTTTCTAAATTGTCAAAACCATCTGTAACAGTTTGTATGAAATCTATCGATGAATTATATATTCAGGGATGAGAGTAGTCAGAAAGCAAAAAAGCGCAAATCCAAGAAGGAATATATATGTATCCAAAAATTTGACAAAAAAAAATGCGATCTTTAAACTTGTAAACTATGTGATTATAAATCCCGGTGGTTAATTATAAAATTGTATGAATATGAATCACATGCAATATTTTAAATTGAGAGAATATGAATCCCGATATGAGGCTTTTAAATCACGTGAATATGAAACTCTATCGAATTTAAAAAATACAAAAATACAAATCATGATGCGTAATTTTTAGATCACATAAATGCGAATCACGATGTATAATTTTTAAAACGCGCGAATACGAATTCCAACGTCTAATTTTTAAAAAGCACATATAAATACGAAAATCGATGTTTGATATTACAAAAGCAAAAACGAATCACGACTTTGGATTTTAAGCTCGTGTGAATACGAATGATAGATAGGGCTTTAAAAGCGAGTAAATACAAAATGCGATATTGGATTTTTAAATCTCGTCAATAAGAATCATGATGCGCGATATTTAAATAGCGTGAATAAGAATCACAAAGTGCAACTTTTAAATCAGGTAAATACGAAAATCGATGATTGACATAAGAATCGAAATATTTGCAGAGTCTGGACTTGGGATTTCTAAAAGGCTTGTTTGTATTGTTTTTGTTTAGACATAATAAATAAAAAATTAACAAGATTAATTGAATGAGCAAATAAATAGTTTCACCGCAAATCCACTTCTATTTTTTTTTCTTCTTTCGCTTGCTTTCACGCCAGAAAACAGGAAGCAGCGACGAAACGAAATATGACGAATTACGAAAATACGAGCTATCCAGAGGACGGATAAAAATACGGAAAATCTTATTTTCTGTGCGTAAAAGCGGAGAAATGAGCTAAAATAAGTACAAAAATGCAGAAGAGTTAGCAGCTGGGAAACAGTTTGAATTTTCTGTTTATCTTTGAAAAGCGTAAATAAAAATAATTATTTTATTTCAACGACTGAATTTTTAGAAAAAATCGGAATGTTTATTTTAAGAAAAACGAAACTTTTAGAAAATCGGAGTTTTTGATAAAAAGGCTGAAATTCGAGAGACAGAAGTGAAAAAATCTCATCCCTGTATAAAAGTCAATCAGTATTATCCCAAGGAAATGATTTTCAGAGAAATTTCAGAGGGAGGAATGAGGACTTCAATATTTTCGCTCCGCGGAAATTTAAATTCCTCATAAAATATTTTAACTTGCGTAAAAAAAAAATTTCCGCGGAAATTAGAGGGGAAAATTGAAAAATCTGAAAAAAAGCGGAAATCCGCGAATCCGAGGAAGAATTACATCCCTGTAATATTAAATCTGCTGTATTTAGGGATTCGTCTTTTTGTTGAAGAGTCTTGTTTGAAGCATCTATTCTCCCTAAAATCTTTTCCCGTATAGTAAGTAACACTACATACTCAAATGTATCAAGTTTTTTTTTTGTAAATCGGCAGCTTCGGACCTTGTTAATGGTTTTTCATCTCTTTTGGGGGGAAAATGACGTAAACAATGTTTAATTTCTTCATAATTTTCATTTAAGGATTTCACAGCATCGGACGAGCAGATCACCTGGTGTCACAAATAGGTTTAATACTCAAATGTTTGCTCTTGCAAAATTTTTGTAATGCATTCCACCTGTGTGTAGAACTTGAAAAAATACGTACAATTCCTGAACAATATTGAAAAAAGTGGTCATTTCCATGCAGCTTTTGGCAGCAACGTTTCCAATTAAATTTAATGAATGATTTGCGCATGGTATAAAACGGCAGAAAAAATATGTTGTTTTATTCTGGGTTGGAGTCCCTTATATTTACCTGACATATTAAATTCCTTATCATAACTCTGTCTCCGATAGTTAGTGACGCCTAAATCTATATTATTTGAAAATTCTAAAATAACTTTCTCCAAGTTTTCACCAGTATGAGAAAATATAGGTAGAAATTCCAAAAATCTTTCTTTTATACCACTTGGAAGAACATAGCAAATAATGACGGTCAGCTGATCTAAGTGAGATATAACAGGTGTTGAATCAATAATTAGGGAGTAAAATTTGGCTTCCTTTATTTCGTTCACTATTGTGAGTTGTAAATCTTTCGATAATAGAAATAAATTCATCACATATTGTAGACGACAAATAGTTTATAGCACCGGTGCCGCAGTTCGTATATTTTTTCATGTATTCTCGCATAAATGGATCGAACTCGGATAAATATTCCAAAGCAGTAATATAATTACCATTACTTTCACTAAAAGATACTTCATTTTTACCACGAAGCGTTAAAGAGTATGAAGAAATAAATTTGATTGTCGCTACCACACGTTTAAGTACTTCCTAGTAGTTTTTTCATTTATAATTTGTTTTTCCAGTTCAATTCAATGCTACCGGTAATTTTAGATCTTGTTATAATAATTAAAATGGAGTTGATGTGGTCACAAGAGTTTTCACGCTCTGACAATTTTTTATGTTTTCCAATCATTCCTTCCTTTTGTCCTTAGCGTTGTTTGCTAGGAAAATAATTTTCAGACGTAACAGTACAATAAGTTGTCGGTTTCAATATAAGCCAACCAATCTCTTTTGACTTTTTCCCCGCTATTAATTGTTCTGAAGAAGGAAGCAATAGTTAATTTTCTTGTGATTTGTTTTGACCCTTCGTTGCGTCGATTTCATCATTACTTTGAGAAGATTTAAATTTATATTTTCTCCTTTTGTTTCATCTTCACAAATCGTTCATCATAAATCAACGATTCGGCATAATTTGGATACGTTTCAGCAATGATTATAAATATCACGTTTTTCTGTTAAATAAAAATAAAAATTAATTATAAAAATTAAAAAATTAAAAACCTAATTTTCGGGCCCCTGAAAGTACGGGCCCTAGGCGCGTGCCTAGGTTGCCTAGGCCATAATCCGCCCCTGGGTATATCCTACACTGATGTTTTTTTAAGGTTAAGTGCCACTGCCCGGTATACACCAAGTATCGGGTAAATATATACCGGGCAGTGGCACTTAACCTTAAAAAAACATCAGTGTAGGGTATACCGGGCAGTTTCACTTAACCTTAAAAAAACATCAGTGTAGGGTATACCGGGCAGCGATATTCCACTATGACTAACTCTGGGGCACTTCTTCGCCAAACTGCGCGATAACTGCTTAATTGTTATGCGCGCATATCTAGGGTTACNATGTTTTATTAAGGTTAAGTGCCACTGCTCGGTATACCCGAACACTGATGTTTCTTTAAGGTCAAGTGCCATTGCCCGGTATATATTTGCCCGATACTCCAAACACTCTTCTAATCTATCGTCAGTAAGTATTAAAATACAGAATAAATATAAATATATCAAATAAATATAATAATATCAACGTGTAAATTAATATAAAATTGGATATAACAAATATTTCGGACATACACCAAGCAAGTACGTGAATATCGACATTCTCCAGATTTCGGTGTTTCACCGTAACATATATATACTATACATGTATATATTTAATCGACAAAATCCCTATTTTGGCAAGCGTGACTAAAAACATCAAACTTGTTTAATTTCAAGAGAAAATAGAAACAAGCTAAAAGGCTATTGAAAAAAACACATCCAAGTTTCAACGGACAATCAGCAGTGACATGATTTTTTTTTTCTTCCCGACTTTCCTTACTCGTAACTTGAGAGTAATTTTGCTTTCGCTGTTTTTTCCTCACTTAAGCGTAATTTTCGACCCACAATGTGTGTACGTCATTGAATTCCTCTTCAAAAAAGGATTCTTGAAATATGCATAGAAGTACAAGAATATTAAATGCCATTGAATGAGCAAATTTCATTGTCTTAACTAAAGTTTCATAATAAACATCCTTCAATCCATTAAGAAAAAAAACGTTTAAGAAAACACCTGCTGGGATATAGAAAAATTAATTTTATTACTCAACTCATGAGATTTAACGTCCAACAGATTGAATCACATTTGGTACAATTTTATCATTTAAAACATTTTATTATTTGGTACAATTTTACTCTTTTCATGAACAGAAAAACAAATCTCAAAACAATCTTTTTAAGAATAGTTTTTATGTTTGTATGCCATGACAAAGCGATTGTCAATGCAAAAATATAATTTGATTCACCCGATTTGCCCTCTTTTGTCCAAACGTTTGTTTCAATTGAAGATCATCAGAAATTTGATTCAATCATCCTTTTGGGCAGTTTAATGGAACATAATTAAATTATTATTTAAGTCTAATGGATTTTGCTTCATTATCATAATAAGAAGAAATTAAGCATAAAAATATACTACAATATGTGCACAATGTGCAATTTTTTATGCAATACTAAAGAGTAATGCTTAAGTTTTAATGAATTTTTATCGCATTTGTGGGCATACTCTTTTCTTAGCAATACATTTCTGAGTAAAAAATAAGCATTTTTCACCCTTATTCAAATTTTGGATGCCTTGAAGATGAGAAAAAGATTATTTGGCATTTTAAAGTAATGAAGCTTGCTCCAGACAAAACCAGTAAAAAAAAATTTTAAAAAAATCTCAAGTCTTCAAATAATGCTGTCCCGCAGTGGACTGATCATAAAGACGCGGTTCCCAGCTGATCACCGAAGTCAAGCATCACTGGTTGCGGTCAGTGTGCGGGTGGGTGACCACTTGGATCAGTCTGCTTAGGGACCGAGGGTGTGCGGTATGGGTCCCCGTTAAACTGTTCTACCATAAAGTGCTCGATCCTCTGCAGGGGATCAAAATTGTGATGGCATGTCTTCGGATCATCCTTAGGGATGCTTTCCAGACGGTCGCCAATAGCCCATTGCGCAGCTCTAGTGTGACGTAAAATGAACTACAACAGCAACATCAAGTAATGCTAAGAGTTTCTTGCAGTGTTAAACGGATTTTAATGTAAATTTTGAGATGCTTCTCAATTTTTAAACAAAAGTAACAGATTTTTACTTTTTTCTGAATATAATTTCAAATCACCTTTTGTGTTAATCAAAATGGAATATTCCACAAGCATTTCTTTTGTTCAATTCAAAAATAAGTGCATGAGTAATTCTTATATTTAGCATAATATAAAGGTCACGATATCGGTAAATCAAGGTCATCGAAAATCTTTTTTGCACGACCTGATATCTCGCAGCTGAATACAGCAGAACAAGGAATCAAGTAACCAAAATAAAATAAAAAATATTCCCGAGGTAATAGTACTCGAACCTCTTATCACAAAGACCTTAATTAAAAACTGATATAATTAGAATTTCATTCCTATAGACCATTTCTTGAACCCCGTACCTTTAAAACTTGTTTTACACTAAAAAAGGAACAAAACGTTATTAAATTTATCAGATTTAAGGTTTTAACCCTTCCATTCGTTGAGAGTTTTACGAAGGAATGATAAGAGAATAGACACATTTTGAAGATAAAGATTGAAACTTTTTGGTCTCAAAGAAATACTTAGTCTGTTCATCATCAAGAAATCTGTTCTTCATCGGCTGATTGTAGCGTGCTTTCTTGATCAAGAAATGGCCAAGTAAGTTCCCTAACTGTTTTAATTTACCTGTTGAATAATTACGATATTTTTCTTTTATTTTTGTAGTTTACAAAAAAAGTAAATATTCTTTTTTTTTTCAAAGTGTTCTATTTTTTCATACATTTATTTTTCTTTTATTATACCTTGAATCCATAAAAATTTCCTTTTGAATTTAGTAATATACTGTTTTGAATAGGGCGGCTTAGCATAAAAAATGTGCAGTTTTGTGTTAAAATTACAGATTTTTATCTTTATTAGTACATTGTATGAACATGTTTTAAAGTTGCCAGGCACTATATATCTTATCAAGATGTGATATACCAGGGAGAGAGGTAAAAAAAGCGTCAGTTTTTAATATTGCTATCTTTACAAATGATGTATTGTTTCCAATCATCGTTTTTGTGCTGAATTTGTCGTTCGGACAAATAGTTGAGAATTTTTCACTGTCTTATAAATAAAATTTACAGTTTTGTACTGTTACATATTTACGCAGTTAATATTACCATCTAGGCAAATGATGTGGTGGTTCTTAAGCATTTTTTGTGCTGAATTGAGTGATCGGAACTGAATTGAAATCAAATGATCTTCAATCGAATTAATATTTTTAACGTCATTAAAGATTTTATTTACAAATGCACAGTTTCGAACTCACACATCTCACATTAAAGTGATTTATTGTTTCGTGTGAAATTTTTCACACTTCTACAAAAATCAAAACTAAATCGACAGAACTAATTGTTTTAAAGTTCAAATTATTTTATGAGCAAAAATTATAATTTTCATACATAGACCTTAATTACTTTTAAACTATTAGTTAAACAACTCAGTTTTGATTGTAATGGTATTAGGTTTAATTATATTTTATTGGGTATAAGAGCATATGGAACAATACCTCACTTGTCTAGATAACTTTTTCAGACTCGTAAATAGGTCAAAAAACTTTTAAGTTACAAATTATACATAGTACCAGTAAAATATGGTTGAAATATTTATATTTCTTAAAAATTCTAAGCTATTGACACTATCGATTTGGTTTTGATTACATTGGATCTAACATTGTAAAGAAAATACATTCGAAACACTTTACTTACTTAGATGGCAGTATCAGAAACACAAATACGTATAAGTACAAAACTATACTTTTTGAACGCTTTATAATTTGTAAATTAATAGTTCTATCATCTTTATTTTCATCTCATTTGATTCTTTTAAAAAAAGTATATCAAAAACAATACCTTATTCGTCTAGATAGCAATGTTTAGGTCTATCACACCTTTCCTTCCATTGAAAACATTTTTTTTTAAAATTTTGCAATGAACTGCACAATCGGTCTTGCCGATGAGCAGACCTAGTGCGTTCTCCAGAGGTGGTATTCACTTTTTCAGGACCACCACAACGGGTGAGATACCGTTGGTCATGTTAATTTGGACGTCTAGTTTCTGCTACACTAGATGGCAGCACCGAGACTCTATTTTGATGCTAAAGTGCACTAAGAATTCAATTTTGCCGAAAATGCCACTGAAAACATTTAGAGATGGAATACAGAGTGTCCCAATGTATTTTAATCTCCTATTCATATATCATATCATAAATCATAAAAATTTTTTAATTCATGTTCATGAAGAAAAAAACTTTTTCTTAACGTGCTTCTTAAAATTTAAAAAAAAAAAAATAATTTAATGCAAATTTTTCCAAAATATAAAAATGGCTTTTTTATAAGAATACACTGAGTATTCTGTACTCAATATTTTTACAATCAATATAATCAGCACTCTATATTTTAATACAATTTGTTTTAATACTCAATACTCAAAATATGCACTCAATATTTTTGGAACAAAAAATGGTTTAATTGCTATGTAACAGTACTCGTAAATTATTTTAAAATTGGAAATTAGCTACTTATATACAGATAATATCCGAAATATTTAACTTTCAAAATATTAAAAAAACTGCATTTGCTTTCAAAAGACATTTAATTTAAACCTTATGAAATTTAAAGAAAAATGATTGCTTCAGAAATTAATAGACTTTAACAGACTTAATTGAAACTAGAATTATAACTTAATCAGTGCACTTCTTTTTTTACTTATCGTAACGTTAGAGTTCTCTTCGTTGCTTACAGTTCAGTATTAAACCTTCTTAGTTCATTAATCTAACGAAGTCCGAGTTCGGTTTAAACTTTTTTTAACGAGATTAAATTTCATTTATAGGGCATATATAACCACATGGCTTTTTGATAAGTCTTTACTGTGTATTATTAGCAACATAAAGCCGCCTTAAGTTAGTTTTCAAATTTGAATTTCTTTTTTCTCAGAACTCTGGATAAATTTTCCCTTGTTAGATTTTCCTAGACTGATGAAGACTTGCCACAAAACTACTGACGACTTTGTCTCTAAACTTTTTAGCAATCTTCAATTAAGTTTCAAAAAAAATAATCTCAAAAGATTTTTCAACATAATAAAAAGAACAGTTAACGTCTATGGTGTCTAGGTAATAGAAGAAGCAGTTACCATCTGCGACTTCTATCGGATGAAACCTATCAGATTTCATTTGTATTAGTTGATCTGAACTAGGCTGTTACACATCAGCACATAAGTTCCCTTAACGATTTCAAACACTGGTGCGATGTGATCTGAATATGTGTTACATAAAATAAATTATGTATTTCATAAAGTGAAAGATGATTATATTCATAATGATATAAAATTGTTCTACTTTAGTTACACACCAGTAAAAATTGCTTACACAGCTTTTGAACCAGGTGGAGGAAGTAATGACAAACTGACACCAATAATATTCTTACATGGTGCAACCTGGACAAAGGAAACGTGGGACGTTATACCACAAATCATTGCTGACAAAACAAAAAGGAAAGTAAGTTAGTAAGTAATCTAGTTTGCAAAGTGTCAAATTTTTCGAATGATTGCAATAATATAAAGCTGTGGTGGCTCAAGCGATAGAGCGCTTGCATCCCAAGAAGTGGAGCCGGGTTCGAATCCCGGCGATAGCTGGTTGGTTCGAATTCCGTATTCGGCTCGCATCAAGCACAGGGCTGACGTTAAATATCCTTTGTGGTAGACGGATCATGGATTAGTCCTCTTGCCGTTAGTCTAACCGAGGAAGGTTTTCGTGGTTTTCCTGTTCATGTAATGCAAATGCGGGTTAGTTCCATCAAAAAGTCCTCCACGAAGGCAAATTTCTCCCAATACTTGATTCAGGAGCTCCCTTGCCTTCTGGATTGGGTTCAAAATTACCAGGCTACAAAATTGAATACTTGAAATCGTAAACCGTGAAATTGGGTCGACTGTTCAACGACGGTTATAAAATAAAATAAAATGATTACAAAAATGCTGTGGTGGCTCAGGAAATAGAGCGCTCGCTTTCTAATGGGGTGAATCGGGATCGAATCACAGCGATGGCTGGTCGATACGAATCCGTATCCGGCCTGCACTGACCACAGTGCTGACGTCAAATATCCTCAGTGGTAGTCGGATTATAGGTTAGGGCCCCTTTGTTGTCAGGCTTACCGTGAGAGGCTCTCGTAACCTTCCTCTCCATGTAAGGCAAATGCGGGTTAGTTCCATCTAAAAAAGTCCTCCACGAAGGCAAATTTCTCCCAATACTTGATCCAGGAGTTCTCTTGTCTTCTGGATTGGGTTCAAAATTAAAAGGCTACGGCGTTGAACATTAGTAGTCTTAAACCCAAAAATTGGATCGTTTGTTCAACGACGGTTATAAAGTAAAATCATCACATAGCTTTAATTAGATGAATATTGTAACAAGCCTTGTATGCACGAGGGTGGGCAGTAGGTTGGTTTACGAACGTGTACAGTTTGCAACGTGCGGAATTCTCCAATTAGCCTACGATATATTCATCGTGCAGAGTTTCCAGGGTGTCCTAAATTATAGTAACTGTTTTCAATAATTTACAGGAAAATGGTAACGATTAAATTAGAAAAATTAATTTGACAGATCTTGCGCTGTCCTCCCAGAGTTAATGTTTCTAGCTCACAAAATTTTCAGAGGATGGCGCAGTGGATAATGAACCTGCAAATCAAAATAATAATAATAATAATAAAAATCACTGCACAACCTTGCATTATAAAAAATGATTACAATATTATAACAAATGATTACAATATTATAACAAATGATTACAATATTATAACAAATGATTGCGGCTAATGTTTAATATTTCGAGAATTATTGTGTATTTTACTTATTACTGTGTATTTATTTATTGTAAATTTTACTTTTTTTCATTTATTAAAATACTTAATATCAACAGCGCCCTCCGTTAAGAAGTTTTTGAACTGCATTCGCATTTTAAATTTAAGCAGGGAGTAAATTAAAATATTTTGGTTTACTGAAAACATTTATTCTTCTTCAAACTTTGCCTAAATATTGCAGGCTTATACCTACGATGCAAGAAACCATGGAGAAAGTGAATCTACTAAACATTTCAATTTCGACTTAAACGTTGATGATCTTTTTCATTTCATGGATGAATTGAACATTGAGAGAGCCATTTTAGTAGGCCACAGTATGGGAAGTTTCACATCCACAAATGCTGCACTTAGAAAGGTTTGTTACCAATATGTTCAAAAAAATGAAACAGCAATAAGTTAATACTACCTATTCGAAGCATAAGTTAATACTACCTATTCGAAGCATAAGTTAATACTACCTATTCGAATATTTCAGTTAGACTCATTAACCAATCGCCTATGTAATATATTTGAGAAAAAAGTACCAAAAATGGAATTGTTTTTTCCTTAATTATTTTCGTTATCATCTTCGAAATGTTAGAAACTGATTATTATTTAAAAAAGCAACATTTAAAATGACAACTATATTCTAATTTTCGGATAAATGGGAAATGTTAATGAATTACAGTAATTTTTGCTCAAATTATTGCAAAATAAATCAAATAGCATAATTTTAAAGATTAATGTAATAAACTTTTCAGCAATACTATTGTTTAGATGAACTGTCTTGAACTATATGTCTCTTGGAGTTTTTTGAATTTCCGACAAATTCCAAAAATCCATCAAATGCCGCGAAAATGTCGAACTTTTCTTGAGAAAATTTAAAAAGGAATCTATTGGGAAAATGTTAAGTTATATATTATGCATTAGACGAACTGAGTTCAGGCTTCACAGGCTGGAGGTTAGAGTTCCTCCACTTGTTATGGAAAGAAAAGATGTTTACATAATAATTAACATAATTACATAAACAATGGAATATATAAAAATTGATAGCTTTCATTGAAACTTGAAAAATGTTTCTCTTATTCATTAAAAAATTGTTTGCAATCCTTCAAAAATATGCTTAATAATTTGCATTTTTAATTCCATACTTAATAATTTTTAAAAACTTAATAACCATTCAAAATTCTAGATTATCTCTCACGGGGAATAATATATAAATACTTTAATAAACCTAAACTCCATAAATAATTTAGGACCATTGTAACATAACCACTGGCGAAAAAAAAAGGAGAGCGAAATAGGATGGAACGTCTTTATCAAAACAGATTAACCCGTTTTGTCCCGAATTTATATATGGAAATGATACAAAAAGTGGTTTTATGGAAAAAGTGGTTTAATATGTTTTTGAAATTAATTGGTTTTTCCACTGTTGTGGCATTCAAAAAGTCTTTGATAGATCAAAAAGTACTTGTTCCTTATAATTCTAGATCTAATCAGAAATAATTAAATCATTGAGGTATCTGAGAATCTTTTAATTCCCAAATAAATGAAAATGCTGAAAAAAGTTTCCCACCACAATGAATGTCTTTGAAAAAAGGAACTGTCCTAATTAAATGACGCTGGGAGTTAACCGGTTAATCGAATTAGAAACGGGACTGAAACGACACCGAAACGTCAACGGGATTGAAACGGCGGAACCGATATGTCATAGACCTATACTATTTACCATGAAAGTTCGAAAATATGGGATATTTACCTTCTTTGAAGAATATCAGCAGATAAGAACTAAATTTTTGATCAGATTCATGTAAAAAAAAAACAAAAAATAGTGCGTGGAGTCCCTCCTCGCGGAAGAAGTTAAACTTCGCAACCTGCGACGTTAATTGTAGAAGAATCAGCAGTCGTAGAAGGATTACTAGTCCTACTCAACGACTCTTTTTCCTGCTCCGCTCGCTTCCGTGCTCTGTAATCACGGTAATATTGTGCATTTTTCCCTCGTGGACCTCTTGAACCAGTGGAAGTGCTTGTGGTTGCCTCATCGTCTCGCCCTGGAAAATGTATTTGTATTAATAATGTATGTGAATGCGTCATAATGTAATTTCAGAAGAGAAAACCTAACAATCAATTGATATTCACAAGAGACGTACCTTGACATAACCTTAAATCCGTCGCATTGTCCGTGGGATTGTTTTCACTCATTTTTTACAATTGTTATCCACTAAATTTGAAAATAAAAAATACTACCCTATTAAATTATATGTGTATCAAAACAAACTAAAAAAATATTTATAGAAAAACAATACTTTTATGACTTTTATTATTTTTATGCTAGTGAGAACCAAAACAATATGGAAATGAATGAGGGAAAACTGGATCCTACCACGTGATTTCCCGGCCAATAAAAATGTAGCGTTAAACATTTAACGCAACTTTGTTGGAAGTCGCATAAGAAGTATAACTTCAAAAACTAAAAACTATTACTGAAACCAACCTCTACAAAAATCAATAACCTTTAAATCAGGGATGGTGGTTGCATAGTGGTTTTGACCATCACCTCATATGAAATTGTGATCTGTCTAAGTTATAAATGACAATAAAATAAATAATTAAATGAATATTATCAAATCTATTTAGATTTCACCTTAGTGCTCCAAAATGACATTAACCAATGTGAGGGAGAAATAATAGTGTTTGGTTAATATCTTGAATAACCATTTAACAGCTTTCTGAATGCTGATCGATAGAAGACAATGCTTTCATTTGCCAGAAATTGTCTTCACTAACAGCATGCGGGGAGCCATAGTAGCTCATGGGATAGAGATCTCGCATCCCGATAATGGTTGGTGGATTCGAATTTCGCACCCAGCTCGCATCGACTACAATGCTGTTGTAAAATATCCTCAGTAGTAGACAGATCATGGGTCAGAACATGGCTTTTCTCTCCATATACCACAAATGCGAGTTAGTTTCATGAAAAAGTCCTTATCGAAATCTAGTTTGTCCTAAAGTTTGATTCAGGGGCCCCCTTGTCTTCTGGGCTAATAGTCTTAAACTCTGAATTGGGTCGGCTGTTCGAAGCCGCTTATAAGTTATAATAACTACTTGCGGGGTGTTTTGTGATAACAAGTCTTAATAAATATTTCTTTAAATATTTGAATACCCATTTGGGTATTTCCCCATATTTGGGTAATACCCAATATCTAAATATTTGAATACCCATTTGGCTAAAAATCAAACACATTTGGAGCGTGATGTGAAATTTAAGTTAATCAAAACAGAAAACTTCATTAAAATTTAGTGAATAATTTAGTTGAAGAACATTAAAATTTAGTTGAAGAAGATGGGGTAAAAACATCAAAGCTAGTTTTATTTCTGAAAGAAAGTTAAAAGTGTTATTAAAAGGAGCTTTTTGCTTCCTTTTCATTCTGGCAGTCAAACAGATTCGAATTGTTTTAATTCTGCTTTTTTCGACTACTGACCCATTTATGCAAGCTTAAATGTTAGATTGAGACTGTTATTGTACGTAATGGTTTTACATTATTTTGACAAGTATGCGATGGTTGTAAATAAGGTATTAGCAATTAACATAAATTTTTTTTTAATAAACATACAAGAAAATTACATTACATTGCTGCAATATAATCACCAATAAAGTCTAGTATTGTGTGTTTATCAGACATCTGAAATCAGTAAAATACCGTTGGCAGGGTATCCTACAGTTGGTTGCGTTGGTGTCCTCTACTTTGGCTTATGCTTGAGTGTCGCAATTCTCTTTTCCCAGACAGCAATTCAAGAAATCGGGTGCCTAAAATCAGACATTTCAACCTTACAAAAAAGTCCGATATCACAAGAATAGTTAATCCGATAAGTACAGGGGAGGGTTTTCTAACAATTCCCATAACTAGCGTTTCAAAAGATGATTGACTTACAGCTAGTGCAACATAACTACGTAATCTAATGCTTTGTTCCACCGTATAATCATCATATACGCGTTGTCACAACATGCTAAACTGATCCCTTAATAAGAATGCGATGCTTTTATGCTACGGCAACCTTAACATTGATCCCTGATCACGTTTTATGAGCATGATTTAGAGCAATAAAACTTCAAACTACGAGATAACTTTCCCTTGAACTTGACATTTTTATATCACATCGACAATAGCACCACTGCTCCGATAACCTGTTTGTGCATACCCGACGTTATTCAACTTTCTGGGCTACGTTTCCTCTACTTTATTTACAACTAATACATATATTAAGGGCGTTTATTACAAAAGCATGAGGTGTGGTAAATACTCTGAATGTTTTTTTTCTTTTCCTTTAATAGCCTGAAAGAGTAGAAATGATTTTCTCCGAAGACATGTATATAAAGAAAATACCTAGGAAGGTTGCAGACAATGTTATCAGTTTCATATTGGATTTAAGTGAAGCTGTGCAGAGCGCTCAAAAAGATTTGAACGAAAGTGATGCTCTTGCAGAAGCTGTAGAATTTCTTTTAAAAAATAATAAAGGGAATGTAAGTCATTATTTTNACGGGTACTTTTGTTCTGAGTTCAGAATCAAGTTGAATTCACTCGGTGATGTGGGAAAGTACTGACTGTTTCTATTTACGTCCGTTTCCTTTTGAGTTTTTTTTTTTTAAATGCTAAAACTGTTCATAAAAAGTTAATGCTAAAACTGTTCATAAAAAGTTTTGTTTTTCGATAATATCATTGATTCAATATGAATTTTTTGAGTGCTTGAAAATTTTTGTAAAGTGCTTGAAAAGTTTTTAAAAAGTGCTTATTTTTGATTCAAAGATTTGGCTACGCACCCTGATCTATTTAGCGATAAGAAAATAATGTATCATCTAATCTAAAAATGTTAAATTTCTCATATCCTGCTCTACTTCTACTTATTTTGAGAATAATTTCTTTAAAATATTGTTTTTTCAGAATTAGTATATTACAAAAATCACTTTTATACTAAAACTTTACGAATTTTTATTAAAGATGTAAAATAAAGAATATATGAACACAAAATAAGTTTGGTCATAGGCAAAAAGCTTGCTGTAAATGCCTATTTATTGAAAGTTATGAGTTATCTCTCTTGAAGTGAGACGATAGTTCTCATTTTAAAAAGTTAAAAATGACAAACAATAGTCTTACTCATTAAACATTATTAATATATGGTTAAGAGATTTTGATTTGTAGTAATTTCCAAACCTTTCTTGCAAAAAAGCTTGCATTCGTACTTAAAACACATATATTTCGATCTTAAATTTTGATAACAATAATAAAGGTCAAATTTCTAATCCCGTTTTTTTTGTTACTATAAAAGCAATTTGAATTTGTGTTTTGAACAATTAGATTTGCATAAGAGCCAATAAAATCCTATTTACATTGCTGTTACACTTTAAATTTTATTTCGGCATTACAAAAAATCATTGTCATATAATGGAGTTTTCTCACTGTAATTTATTTTGAGCAAACTTAGAAATTTCTGAGAAAGTTTAACCAGAATTTTAGGTAGTTCTCATTTTTATTTATTTTTTAAAAAAAATAAAGAGTTATGGAAAATAACTGCATTTCTCTGTAGATTTTAGAGTCTTTAAGATTTTTCAATTAAATTTTATTTATTTCAATATAGTTTAGGAACAGACGCGTATGTGGTTTTCTCTAGAGAGCCTTTCATTAAGTTATTTCAACTTCGTTTTATTTATTTTAAAAGTTTAAGAAAAAAAACGTAGGTGAGTTTCTCTAAAGGGTCTATTTTAGATATTTCAATGGTAATTTATTTATTTCAATAGAGTTAAGGAAAGGTGTGTGGGTTATTTGAGATCACCCTTACAAACCTTAAGATTGAATCCTAGAGCATGAGGATCCTATTATTATCCTATCCGTTTATTTATTCAGTATTTTTTTAGTACTGTAATACTAAAACTAGTAATTTTTCTTCGTTTTCTTTTTCGATCCTAACTTTGGAAATAAATTTGAAAGCATTGAATAATTTAGATAATATTGATAAAATATTAAAAATAGCACAACTCTCTATCAATTGCTTAAAATTATTGAAGTTTTTTGGTACATAATTATAGTTAAATATGTTCGGTGTCATTAGGAATACTTTAAGAAAAGTACCTTACTGATTGCAAAAGTATTTTCAATTTCGGAGTCACTGTTTAATAGAAATTTCAAACATCTGAAATTAAGATTTTTTTTTGAATATGTTATTAAAATTTCTAAAACAAAACAATTCATGTCAGTTTTATTACGTTTATTCATTTTTATTTTTTTGTACCAGCTTTGAATTTAGATTTAGAGAAAAGTTACAGGATTGAATGAGTTTTTTTTTCATTTCCCGAATCAATCTTTTGTATGGGTTCCTATTGAATGTATTTTTAATATTCCTATGAAAAAAACAGAAAAATATGTTTTTATCAGTCTTACATAATTGTTAAGTCAAACAAAAGAAAGAACATTTTCAAACACTGTCTAATGTGGTTGCAAAGATCAATGAATTAAATTTTTTTTTCTTTTGCTTGGGGATAATATTTGTTGCCTTATAAAGAAAATCCCTAATATAGTTCATTGTTGAATAAACAGATTTTAAATCACTTCAATCCCTACTTTATTCTTATTATCCTCAATAAAAACATACTGATGTTTGAAACTTTTAAGTTTGCTTTTTCGCATTATGAATTTGCGAACCCTGAAAATGCATGCTTTACTGCTTTCAGTTCTTGGAAAATATGCACTTTAAGATAGGAAACTCATGAAGCTACATATTTTGATACTCTAAGAAAAATTGTTATTAAAATAACAATAGCATTTATTTAAGAAAAATCGTAATTTAAATGAAGAAAAAAATGAACACACTTGCTTCGTAATTTTGTTTCACTAAATAAATATTTGTAACCGTTGTTACTCTTTCTTTTTAACGGTTAAAGTAATTTGCAGGTGACATTATCATCAAAAGAATCTTTCAAGAAATCGATACGTGTCTTGAAGAGAAAATCAGATGGAGGATATGATGTACCTTTCAATAAAGATCCAATCATTAGAGGGTTTGAAGATCTAGATACATTAATGACTAGTCCCAGTGGTCAATTCAATGGCCATGTATATTTCATATATGGAGGAGCCTCCCCCTTTGCAGTGTAAGCAACTTGAGAATTTTGTATGTCTGTTTTCAATTACCAAAAAAATAAGTAGACTAATTTTTCTTAGAAGCATCTTAAATTTTTCTAGTCACCTCAAATTTTTCGCTATAAAATAATTATTTGGCTGTCGTTTAAAAATTCTTATGAATAGCTGTGCAGTATGCAATGTAATGGTTGTATTTTATTTTATTAATGAAGAAAACACCCTTTTTCGTTGAGAGCAATTTATTGCAGCGTGTAGGTTTTAAATTGCTTTCAAAATATGAAAGTTTTTTCCAAGAAGTATTTTATTTCATCTGTCACTTCAAATTTTTGGCCAAATCAAATCACAAAAAATTTTATAGCTTAGTTTCTTGAGTTTAATTTTGTCTCCTCGTTCATAATCTCTTTAATTTAATATGTTTAAATGCAATATATTTAGTGATTCTTATAAAGTTAATAAAAATATCAGCCAAGTTTAAGATAGTTAATTTTTAATAACTTTTAATAAATTTATATAAAGTGATGGTACTCAATTTCGGAACAAAATATTTCGCTTGAATTTTTTTTTTTTTTAAATTTCATATCAGTGTCTTAATGAATTAAATAACTTTTGTAATATTAGTTTGTTTTAAAATTTTATTTAAAATTATTAATTAATTAAATTATTTATTTCATTTTTTATTTATTGTTTTTTAACCTAGGAGATCTGAAGAAGAACACATTAAGAATCATTTCCCAAAAGCTGAATTTATTAAATTTGTAGGAGGTTCTCACAATCTTCACCTGGAATATCTTGATAAGTTTGTTAAAACAATTTTGGACCGCTTATAACAAAAATAAAAATGTCAGAACTTGATGTTATCTGAAAATTCATTGTTATAATGAACGATTATTTATGTTTTAAATTGTATTGGATATTAATATGCCATCAAAATATACTGGTGGCGTTTGTACAAATCTTGTAATTAAACTTAGACTTCTCTGTTGGTTTTAAGATCACAAGCTCTCTGCACAAATAAGTACTTCAACCAAGCTTTAAATGCAGTTTCAATATTCATTTTTCTTTCAAAAAGATTGAACAACTAAAATTGATTAGTGCTTACGGAAAGGGAAAACTCTGTGGTAGGTAAAGTCTCTCAGAATTGAGAAAGATTTACAAATTAGAATATTCAGATTTGCAAAAATTAGTGAGCAAAAAGAAAAAATAAATAAACTGACTATCCTGAATAACGTTTGATCTAATTGATCGGATTTTCAAGTTCTAAGATTCAATTTTAATCGTAGAAGGGGATGACGTCTAATATGCTAATTAATTAGTGCAGATGATGTGTTAAGTCCTGATATCAGACACAAAAACGTACTTTCTCTGAATAAACATACCATTTTCTTCTCGACGGATTCTGATTTCTGACTGCAAGGGGGTAGCGGCAATCTGGAAGCAATAGCTTGGTTAGGAGAGCGATCAAAAGTTTGAAACCCTTAAACTTAATTTTACTTATTGCGTATTCAACCATATCTCTAGAACTTTTTTGGCGACTTGAAAATTATACACAATTATGAAATTTGCTTATCCAAAGATAATTCTTTGCTACAAGTAACTTTTAGTAAATATTTATTATTTTTTTTATTTTATTTAATAATAGTCAAAAAATTTTGAACAGAAAGGTGTACAATTTTTTTACATAATTTTAAAGAATATATTTCTACATGGTAAAACATGGGATTTGAGCAAAATCGGTCGAATAGATCCAGAGAATTTCAAAAATACGATTCCTAAAATTCTATTTTTCAGGAACTATTAGAGGCATTAGACAAGACATTCAAAACATAAATCAATATTCTATAATATACTAATTTTAAAGAAAGAAGCTAAAATATCATGAAGGTGGAGGATTTCAAACTAAAATCGGTTGAATCTCAAATTTTCTAGTGCACATCGAAAAAGAAATCAAGTGGCAGAAAATTTTTTTTAGTATAGGGTAAGATTTCAAAATCGGAATGTTCACATTTGTGCGCTTTATTCAAATACTGATATACAAGACTTTTTTTGGACTTTTAAAAAAAAAAATTTCTCGTTTTGATACGCTACAAATGATATCTTGAAACAAAAATACGAAATTAGTATTTCTACACAGTTAAGGGAGATTTAGATATTCTTTGCGAGTAAGATTGGTTTTATGAAATTTATCTTAATTGACATACTATTAAAATGATTAAAGTTTCGAGTAATTTAATTGATAAAAAATATCTTGATGAGTATATGGAAATGTTTTCTAATATATATGGTAAAAGAAATTACCACGAAAAAAAATTTGAGACTAAAGTTGTATCAGTTTTTTCGCTCTGCTAGACTGATATCTTTTGCATTGAAAAATTGTGCTGAAAGCTAATTCAATGGACTTGAAAAAGAGGATATGATTGTAAAGGTAGAAAGATCACAGTTAACCACACCTGCTGCAACTGTAATGAAAATCAATGAATCTGTTAGATTAAGTGCAAATTCAGTAAGACTTAATGCAAGTAATTTTTAATACAATATCCATTGATGAAATTTAAGGAAATGTGTTCGTGTTTACATGGAGGTAAACAATTTTCAAAATCTGGTTTTAGTCATGCATGCCTACAACTGAAAGTTCATCAATCAATGTACAGACAGCCAAAAATTGTTAACAATTAATACACACAGAGAGTTGCGTGTATGTAAAAGGCATATCAACGGTTTAAATGCAACTCCCGGTGTTTAGCAACGTTAAGTAGAAGAGTTATTTTAAGGTATGAAAGTAAGTGAAATTATTTTGGATAATGCTAGAATAACTAAAATAGATCATGAATCTCATCAAAGTCATCAGAAAAAAAATTCAATTAACTTTAAGAACAGTGAACAAAATTAAATTTTTCTAAAAGTAATTTTCTTTATGTAGAAAATTTCCACAATCAAGCAATTTTTTCCGGTAATTATCCTTTTCAGTTTATAGTAAAAAACCTATTACACTGCAAAACAATTTTGGTGCATAGAGCCGCCACTTTTAGATATGAGGTACACTAAAATTTCTTACCTTACATGTGGTCACAGTGTTTACTTACTTTCGCGCTGTTTCATACATAGCTATTTATTTTTTACCTTGGTTGTTTACTGATAACGCATGTTTTTATGGGTATTAGTATCAATTCTTAGCTTCATTGAAAAGACATCTCGTTTATAGAAAACCAGCACCTTTATAGTGAATTGTTCTTTTACAAAATTGTTATTTTTTTAATTTTATATAATTTTGTGCACGATAACTACAGCTCTGAATTTAAAAATGTATTTATTTTACTTTTACACCAAAAATGGTGACAGCTATGCACCACAATTGTTTGTAGTGTACTGGGTAGTAGTAACTGGGATAATTGGTACTTATTAAAAACAATACGCATTACCATATTTATAGAATTACAAGTTACCGAAATAATTTAAGGATGATTGGCGACAATATTACTGAGGCGATTTTTACGGTTTCCCTGAACGAATCAGTATCTTTTCACATCTAACTTTGAATTTGTTTTTTGGCACACTACTAATTTTTTTCATTTCAATTACTGTTGATTTTAAACAATTTAATTTTATAAAAATAAGTTTTAAAAAACTAACTATAAATAAAATAAACACATGGTTTCAAACAATATTAAAATTACCAACTCGGTTACATAATTGCGCTAAACAGGTATATCACTAAGCTTATAAGGAAAACTGAAATATTAAAGGACGTGCTATAAAATCATAACAGAATCGCCTATAGTTTAATCTATAACATTGGTTGATGCTATACTAATATGAAAAATCAGCTTTTCAAATATCTATCCAGAACGAACTAATTAAATTCTTGAATGATTTTTACGATCGAGGACTGAAACTGCTTCTTGTTTGTTGTCCATACCCAAATTTCAGGACCCTAGCTCAAGTGATTTTGGAATTAAAAAGGGTTCGACGCAGAAGGTCCAACACAGAAACAGACAAAAACAACAAAACAAAAACGTTGGAAAAAATCCAAACCAATGTATGAAAAAATTCCATAATGTTTGAATCGTAATATTTCATTCATTAGGTTTCGCATTATGAGAGGATAAAATGCCTTCTGAGAAAACTTTCTGAAACAGCAGCGATAATGAAAGAAACGTTTATTTCCTCATTTATCGTTTACGATAGGGAGAAATAAACATGATTCCGTCTGAAGTAAGAATAAAAATATATTCTCGCAAAATCATAAGGGATATAAATTTGATAGAAAATAACAGAAATCGTGTAAATGTATCAAACATTTCATGGAATCGGTCAAGGCAAACAAATACGCATTTGGCAATTGTTATTGCTCACCAAATTTACTAAGCTGCAGCAGATTATTTACTGTGACATAAAAATTAATAAAAGTAATTTCTTTTAGGGTATTAGAAAGATTCGATAGTACTTTTTTTTTGTAGTGATACTTTTCTATTTTAAATGTTTGTCTGTGGTGGAAGTTGAATGGATAGTAAAATGACTAAGTAAGATTCAATATTATTATAAATTATTGTGTTAAAAATCTACACATTAAGTTATTTTTACAGTTACAGCTATTTAATTATATTAATAGTTATTTGAAGACTCATTAAAAATAGTTTATACAAAAGTGTCATTATTTGAGACAACTTTTTTCCTCCGTAATCAGTGAATTGGAAGGAAAAATATTAAAAGGATGTCTTTTTAACTCTTATTATCTGGAAAAAAGAATCAAAATAGTCATCATATTGTTTTTTTTATTTATATTTCGAGCTTGTATGAAGCAAAATGATTATATTAAGGGTATAAAATGGCGATTTCTTAAAAAAATTATTATAATAGCAGCAAATGATAGAAATTATTGATGGATCTCAACTGAAAAAATTTTATGTGGAATTTTTTTTGAAGAAACTTATGTATAGATTTGTATATACAGAGGCTGGAAAAAATTTTTCAATAATAAAGTTTTTTTTTTAGGAAACTTATGTATAGACTTGTATATACAGAGGTTGGATAAACGTTTCAATAATAGTGTTTTTAAAGCAATATTTCCTTCAGCAGCAAATTTTTTCGAAAATTGTTTATAACTAAACAGTCAGCACAATTTGAAAGATCAAGCGTGAAGTTTTTAGGAATGGTGTCATTTATACGCATGCAAAATTCGAATGGACAAAACTGTGGAGAGGAAATTAATATTTTTCTTCCAGTTTTAATACCTGCAATTTTGAAGTCATTCTAAAGGAATGCAATATTTATACTAAAATATTATTTTTTTTACTGTGGTGTGGAAAGAGGAAAGAAAATTTTAACTTCCTACGCTAATTTTGGTCGATGTAAATTTTGCATGGGTAAAAAGGGCACAATTTCTAAAAGATTCTAGCATGATATTTGAAACTGTGCGAACAATTTTGCCATATTAAATATTCCAAAACATTTGCTGTTGAACAAAAGATTATTTACGGAGAGTTAGCGTAAAAGTGTTTCCATAATTTTGTGTAACTTCAATATATATACAAATATATATATATACACACATATATANCCACTTTTATCCACTGTTCTCTTCACTAAGAAATTAGTGGTTTTATACTTTGTAAAATTATTTTAATAAATGTGAGACTTATGTGTATATAGATATATATATATATATATATACAGTACCCTTCCAAATTATTAGGGACGCTTAAAATTTCTAAAAAAATGTCATTTCTCAAAGTGTCATAGATTTTTCAAAAATGAATCAATTTTCATAAAATATTCAGGATATCATGCTCAAGTCTTCTACTTTCACTTAAAAATTACTAATTTAATTTATCTCAATTTTTTGCAAAAATTTGCACATTTGAACAAAGCAATTTTTTTTTAAAGAAAATGTCAAGTCTGACAAGTTGCTACTTTGAAACAAAATTTTTTGCATAAAAATTAATATTTATACATTAATGTACATGTCATTAACTTTAAAACGCGCAAAAGTAAATTACATTATGATTTTTTTTGACCGAGATATGAGATTTTGAAAATTTTTTGTCATTTATAGTGAAAATGAAATTATTGTGAATTTATTTAGTATTTATTCATCAGCTTAAAGAGATCAATCAACCTATTGACTATTTTCTATTGAAAATTTGTTGGCTATCAATTATTTATTTGCTACGTAAGGTTCGCATAAGTTTATATTTATCACAGTTGAGAAAAGTTTAAATTTTGTATAAAAATAGGTGGCAAAATAAAGTTAAATTTCTTAAAAATTTCTTGAGTCGGTTTTTAAAATTGTCATTGCAAATTTATAAATAATGTTCTTGTTTGTAATAATGTTTTAAATAAAAAACTTAATTAATCCGAATAAGAAAGTTGCAAAAAAATAATACTAAATACTAAGTAATATAGATCCTGAGGAATCAGTACTCAGAGCAGCCTCCCCAGGCAGCAATAACAGCAGTAATTCTTTTAGGCATCGAGTGAAGTAGAGAATGGGTACGGTACGACCGTATTGACTGACGACTGGTGGCGTGCCATTCGTTCGTTAACCATTGACCAGACGTTTTCAATTGGTGAGAGATCAGGAGAACGTGCCTACCGGGGCAACAGGCGAACATGTTTTGTGTCAAGTGACCAGTGCGGGCAACATGCGGTCGTGCATTGTCCTGCTGAAATGTAGCGTTATGGAGGCCACGAAGATAAGGCAGAGTAACTGGCCCTAACACGTCAGAAATATATCGGCTGATGTTCAAAGTGCCGGCAATGCAAACAAGATGTGATCGAGACGTGTATCCAATAGCACCCCATACCATTACTCTAGGTGATGAGCCAGTATGACGATGTCGAATGCAAGCTGCCAATGGGCGTTCACCAAGATGACCTCAAACAAGGACGCGGCCTTTTTGATGCTGTATACCCATACAGCACATTGACTTCGTTATGACATCCTAAAGTTGTCATCTTTAGGATTCTGTGACTTCCAGAGGAAGTCCTATATTTACCGCTACATGTCCTACGGATGTCATCTGCGTGCTAGAATGTCCCACCTGCAGATATCTTAATGATGTCATAACTAGGACAGTTTCAGGATACCTTTAGAAGACTTTAGGATGGCATTAGGACATAATAAGACCTGTTTAGTAAGGATTTAGGTAACTTGTGGGATGCATGTTGGAAATGGTATGATAGTAATAGGAGGGTGTCTTATTTTGGAAATAAATTTCATCTTTGAAATTTTTATTAATTTTAGCAACTTAAATAAGGTTTTTCTTTTAAATTTACTGAATTAGAGGTCAGAAAAATGTTTTCTAAATGAAAAAAAAGGTGATAGTTTTTAATTTGTATACCACTCTATTTTTCCAGAAAAATGGGCTATTCCTCTACTATTTTTTTTAGGAAAATTAGTAAAGGAAAAGGGAGTAAAACAGTTAATAAACAAACGTATCTAAAGAAAAGAATAATGTATCATTTTAATACAAAAATATGCAAGATAATTGGATTTCACATTTCTATTGCTTGGAATAAAAACTTGGCCATTATTAAAAAGTCTAATTGAATGTACCCTTTGAACACCAAGGAAGGTTACCATTCTCCTAATTAGCGTTAGTTTTCTGTAAAGAATATTTCTTATTAAATTAAATTATGAGACTTATTGAATCTTTTATGTACATTGTAATTTATGATTGCTTCATTATTGCTCATATTGTTTAATGTAGTAGATATATTAAATATCTTATAATAAAATAATGAATAATTTTCATTTTAATGTTGCTCTAATACTGAGAACTTCGCATTAATATTTAAATTTCTCGTATGATCAATTGAAACTAGTTAATTGGCAAAATAATTCTCATTACATTCTTCTGCAAAATTTACTAAAAAACATTTTATATTATAAATAGTTTAAATGAAGTTGTGACTATTTTATCAAAAACTCAAAATAGATGTTTATGGATCACATACTTTATTGTTTAGTTATTGTGTCAATGATGCAATTTAAAAAAACAAATAAAATTAGAAAAT